CCAGGGATGTCGAGAGTGGTATACGTACCTACTTTATTACAGTCTATTTCACGGAGTAGACATAGATAGACAAGTGTGTTTACGATTTCAATTGCTTATGAGGTAGTTCAGCGGAACGTTATTGCTATGATATGTGTACTATACTCGATGCGTCTATTTTTGGCCTTGTTTTTATTATTTCTCTTTTAGCTCTCTGAAGAATTTTAATTGAAGTTTCAAACGATTGATAATCAATAATATTAGAAAATAAAAACCATTAAATCATGCGAATATTTTCGCGATCTTTCTATCAAAAGCCATTAGAGTGGAGTTTTTGTAGAATACTTTTTCTATAGCAGCACATGCGATTACAGTTATATTGTACGTCGAAGCCGTAAAGCGATGATAACCTTAGAAAATGTTGGCCAACTGGGCCAGTGCAGTGCAGTGACCTAGTATTGAAAGTATTGCAGTAACGTTTTGAACACACGATGTACCCAAGTAACATTTTCTCTTCGATTTTCCTTTACGATACATTGAATAGAATAAATTATATATTATTAGTAGTAATCTTACTATTTACTTTATTACTTTTATGAGTGAATTTAGAGAAATTTGCGTGATGGTTAGTTTAGTTTTTTATATCGTCAGAATAGAAGATTTTTTTTCTTGCTTGATCTTGTCATAATGTTTTTTTTTCTTTTTACTTATATGATATTTTCTCCAATTATAAAATGATTTTCATGATTCTTGAGGCGTTTCACCTGCCTGTGTTGGTTCCATACTATTATGTAGTATAAAATCTTAATTTATAAATATTATTAATATTTATTATTAGTTTTTACCACCTTTGTCCATGACCTGGATATGTTAGTTGACCGGGATAAAAATAATACATCAAATTTCATGACGATTATTTGGGTCATTGAGGCACTAAAAGGTAACAAACAAATGAACTCAATATTTATAATATAACGTAGATAATAACGTATATTAATTAAACCATGGAAATTATCACTTCAAGATACGGTTAGCTTCAGGGTATTAGTATAGGGTTAGGTTTAATTAGTTCTAAAAGTTAAATACAATTCCTTATCGGTTAATCTTTGTTGAGTCACCGAATACCTAATAGTTAAGCAACAAATAAAAGTAGGAAATTCTCTATTCGCCTGTATTTATTGTATTTTTTTATTGTATACGAGTATGTATGAAGAATGAAGAATTTTCGAAGACAGCCTAGATACTCATACAGAGTATCTAGGTTAAGTTTTCGAAAATTCGAAAATATAAAAATATAGAACTATTTATGTAATGGAACAAAATTTTACATGAAGACTATAAATTGTTTTCATATATGGTTAAATTGTGATAAAACTCAAGATTCGGTCGGAATTTGCAAACATATGTTGTAGGGTGATCGTGCAAAAAACTAAAATTGTAAACTTTATTTTTGAAGTTAGTGAATAAAAATAGAAACGTACTACATACAATTTTTTTTTATTTACGGTTTTTATTACACTTTTATTACACCGCGAAGAGTGATTCGGTCACCTGGGATTTAACCTCACTTTCTGAATCCGATTCATCTGTATTATGCTGGATTTATGGCTTGCCATTGCCGTCATACATGATTCGGGTAACATAAAAGTTTTAAAGCATTTCCGTGTTTTATCTCAAAATTCGACTTCTTTGTGTTTATGTCACATGATATTTTCAAATAATTAATAGGGTTTTTTTCGTGTTGGTTTCATACTAATTCTGTCAATTTTGATGCAGTGTTTTTTTAAATACAATCTTGTATTTTGTATTTAAGTACCTAACCTATTGTTATTATTATCATAAGAGTTCTCACTCCATCTCCATCAGCCTAAAGCTTTAACTCTCCTTCTTCTCTCCACTTAGTCAAACAATATACAGTTGTTATATATTTTATGGATAAGATTTTTAAAAGTTATTTTATTTAAATATGTATTACATATAAACCTTTGAACTACATATGGCATCTAAGGTTATTTTGGTTAAATATGGAAATATAATTTGGCAACACACATTCTATCACTTTCACGTTTGTCTGCGGAATGGCGTCCTGTAAAAGATTCTAGTTCATTGTTAATTTTGTTCACAGTTTATTTCATCACTTCAATAGAATCTCTATTATATATATAATATACACTGCGCGTATTATTTAATAAACCTTATCCTAGTAGAGATGTGGTCGAAGAAATCTAAGGTGTGGAAATACACAGTAGAGAGGCGGGTTTTGATGTTCAGTTAGGTACCTAAAGACAAATAGGTGCGGCGCTCTGTCCATTAACATTTTACCTTACCATCACCTTTATGTTCCTGTCTATTAAATTTACTATACGAAATATAACTAGCAGTTCCATTGTTCCAGTTAATTATGTGCATATTTAACCTTTATTATTAATTGATATATAAGTGAAGTGATAATTTCAACTGACCTTGTATTATGATAATTACACGTTCCGGTGATGAGTATATAGATACCTGCCTAGTAACTGATTTGGTTTTATTAAAAACTAACTAAGGGAGACTTTGTACAAAAGTCGATTGCTTGGGTACCTCTGTCTCATTCGTGTTTCCACCATGAAGCAGTTGTGCTTGCATGACTGTGTTTCGGTTTGAAGGGATATGGCGTGAATTTACAGGGTACAGAGGAATAAAACCTGAGTCCTCAGGAATGGCAACGCGTGGGGGGTGCCATGAACGAAATAGTATACTCTGTTATGTCCATGGTACTGCTCATGTCTATAAGCGACGGTTACCACTTTCCATCAGGTGGGTCGTCAGCTTGTTTGTCATTCTAAGTTGTATAAAAAAAAAGTTAATATTAAATTCTTAATTAATTACTTAAATTTTTTTTGCTTTTACTTTTATTGATGTAATAATAACAAGTATTCTGTAAATATTAGCCAAAATAAGTTTTGAAAATTTTTTTTTTATGGTTGATGATGAAATGGTAACATCGATTGCGCTAACGGTATACGCTGGTGGGGCACAAGTGAGGGATGATAGGTGAGGATGAAAAGGCAAGTTAATTAGCCCACCGTGATGGAAATCTGCACGATGGTTTCCAGGGGGGATCAAGTGGAGGTCGGTCTGACAGGTCATATTGCTAGCAATACTGGTAGTCCACATTACTAACAATCCATTTTTCCCCAGTTTTGAAGATTTAGGTGTACGTAGTATCACTGACAGCAATTATAAATTAAACATTAGTAATAAAAGGAACACTTTATTCGTATAATACTCGTTTTGATCTATTCTCCTGCATAATACATTTTATGTGTTTTCCCTTGTTTTATACACGGTGTTTTCTGACATTTATGGGCTTTTATGGACATTTACGAGTATGTTGTTGTAAAAAACTGGATTACAAGCAATTAAAATTATATTTTATTACTCGATCGTGCAAAATACATTTGCAAGTGTGCACTAGGTCTAAACGGGCTGGCATATAACGGTTCATCAGTGTTAAATGCCTTTTGTCATGCACGTACGCACACGGTCATAGAATTAAGACCACATGCTATCAAGACACAAGGGGATCGATTCTAAAAGGAATGTTACTCATAGATTCTATTTCTTAAATTAAAGGGAGAGAGACTTTATTTCTACCGTCGAGCTTCCTTGCGTGATATGTTCCGGTTTGAAAGGGGAGATATGGCAGTGAAATTAATGAATAATGAGACTTTGGATTTTCGTGCGAGCTTAGATCAATAACCTCCATATTGAGTTTACTCCTTAGGAATGATTTGATGAACATTTTTTTTTTTTTATATAAAAAAAGTACTCTTTTCGAAAAGTATAAAATTGTATTAATTTTGATTTTATTGGAACCATCTTTATTACAATAATAATAATAAAAAATCGCTGATCTTACTATTATTTTATGTTTTAGTATAGTATGAAGAACCAACACGTTAGTCGGGTGTTTGAGATGTTTCTGATATACGACGCTCCATCTACATGCATCTAGTATTTGATCAACCATCATACAGTATATACTCCGTCACGCCACTCTTTCTAATGGGAGACAGACGTGATAGATATGTATGTACTCGTATGTATGTATGTACACTTTGGTATTTCAGCCAATCATCGGCTGTGGTAGTCATTTTCAGACAGATTCGTTATGAAAAAAATCTTTATGTATAGATGTGATTTCTATTATTCGAATGCGTGGTCGGATTTAGACCAAGAAGCGAGTCCTTGTACCTGCTTGCCCTACTTTAGTTGTTACTTAGTGTAAACATTGACGTGATGATGACAAAGAATATTCTTTTGTTGGTCGAATGAACAATATTGTGCGTAATTATTGCGTTGTTCATAAAGTCTGTACTTACATGCACATGTAGGATCAGACTTTATTTATAATCAAATATTAGATGTAATTATTAACTTGTTTTTGCTCATTTTCACACAGACACACACACGCACGCACGCACGCACACAAGATAAACTTCATCTAGTTACAATTTATTATGGCCATACAGATATTTCAATATAAATATAGCAAAATGCATATTATGAAGTCGGTGAGATATTAAAATGCCACGCAGGTTGTAAGTTGAAGACGGTACAAATGACAGGCAGGTGCTAGTCTGCCAGCATGAGTCCACCATTTTAGCGTTTCTGATTATTTGTCTGAAGTGACTGGTGTGAGTTTTCCGCATTTAAATTACAAAAACGGATGCGATTTCAAAAAGAGTATATTCCTAAGTTGCCTGTTTTTTTTCTTACAATGAAAATATTTGAATTCAGAACGCGGAATTTCGTGTAGACACATAGGTTTTGCTTTGTAAAAGAAAACGACGGCCTCAATCGTCACTAAATTCAAACGAACAATGGAACAACTTCGACTGTAAAAAGAATTGTAAAAAGAAGTCGAAAAATTGTCCATGTACCTTATTGTGTTATATTGAACCTCTTTTTTTTGAAAATTGCTAAAAAAACCAACGATTGACAGTCGGGTAAAAAGTATTTCATTATATTTTCAGATTCGATGAAAAGGAAAGCATATCGGGTGTCCAGCAGCTGAAGTCCTCTGTACAGAAAGGGATTCGCACTAGATTGCTCGAACTATATCCCCATTTGGAGAACTACATCGATCAGGTGCTGCCCAAGAAGGATACATTTAGGATCGTCAAATGGTAATGTCTATTACTTATTTATTCATACATATTTTATTACCTATATTTAGGCCAAGGCCAAATATGCGTTGGGATCTCCTCTGGTATTGCTAGTGTTCGTGGGCTGCGGGAATCATTTTGCGTCAGGAGAGCCACATGCACGTTTGTCGCGCAATAAGAAATCTACATAAGTACATGCAAATACTTCTATATTTTCTTTTCATCGCCATTACGTTGTAAGATATGATACATATGCACCAATTTAAAAAAAGTAAAATTCGAAATGAAATTTTATACCAAGCGTGGCTAGTGTGGTAATTGTAAAAGTGGTAACAGTTATAAGGCGAGCAAAGACGTAGTATAATGTACATCTATACTAGTCTATATTAATTTTTTAAAGAGGAAAGATTTCATTATTTGAAAGCTACATTATCAATGAATAACTTAGGCTAAATATTATTTTCGAAAATTCTATCTACCCGTGCCAAGCCGGGCCGGAACGTTAGTTCTTTGTAATCTAAGAGGGGGGAAAGTACCCATGTCTAGTAATAGTACATTGTTAATACTTTGTTATGATTATGATAGAGTTATTGGCATATAAATGTGTCGATAGATAGATACTCTTTATTGTTTTCTCTAAAAGATTACAGTAGTAAACTTATTATTAATACAAACAATACAATAAATGTTCACACTGAGAAAATAATGGGTGGTCTTATCGCTAAAAGCAATCTCTTCCAGGCAACCTTTGGATGGAGAAGGTTGTTTGTTACAACGCCTTAACGCTGTGCCTCTCGGGCACGCGGACGGAGTAGCGGGTAAAAGCTAGTAAAAAATAAAATTTCCTACAAATATATTTTAAGCCATCAGCATCATCTTCCTGCCCTTATACCAATTATTTAGGGTCGCCGTTATAATTATGTTCTCTCATCACCTGTATTTACAGTTTAAAATGGATTTTTTTTCCAAATTGATAAATTTTAAAGTAACAAAAAAAAAACTTGTGTTTTACATGTCGATGAGGCGTTTAATATTTTTTTTTGTACGGGCACAAACATCTAGAATGAAATACTTAGCTTTGAATAGGTAATGACACAGTTCTTATACAATACATAAACAGTTCCATATTCAGCCAATATACAATCATATTCAGCATGTAAATTATAATTTAAGTAAATTGTAAAGTAAGTAAATTGTAATTTATGTAAATTATAACTTTTTTTTTAATACGACTACCAATAATTAAGTTACAATTCATTATATACATATAGTATTTACTGATGACACTATTGCCACTTTCCATTAATTGAGTCCTTAACTTCTTTGCCACTTCATATAATTGAAAAAGAAACTTACATATTATGAGTTTCGGTGACAGACAAAAATTCAAATTGCTTTGAGAACTAGTTTTTTACAGAAAAAAAAAAAGAAAATATTGTCTCTATTAATAGATTTCATTGAAGCAGAATTACTCCTACGTCTAGGCCACCTACTCAGAACTAATTTACGTCTATCATTGTTGTGTGTCTTGTTTATGGATCGTCTGAAATAGGTAACCAATTATTCTGTTGAATATGTGTGCATCATTAAAGTGGAATTACGTTAATTTAGAAATTTACGTGTTTGAAACATTTTTTTTATACAACTTAGAATGGCAAACAAGCTGACGGTCCACCTGATGGAAAATGGTAACCGTCGCCTATAGTCATGAGCAGTACCATGGACATAACAGAGTATACTGTTTCGCCCATGATACCCCCCATGCGTTGCCATTTCTGAGGACTCAGGTGTTATTCCTCTGTACCCAGTAAATTCACGCCATTATCCCACTCTTCAAACCGAAACACAGCCATGCAAACACAACTGCTTCACGGTGGAAACACGAATGGGACAGAGGTACCCAAGCAATCGACTTTTGTACAAAGTCTCCCTCTGGTAAATATTTATTATATGCTAGTGATTCGCTCCGGCTTCGCACGGGAAGAAAAAAATTAACGATCATGGTTAATTCCTGATAAATTTATCATGATGGGCTAACTGGCCTGTTTTCATTCTCATCTATCACCCTTCACTGGTGCTCCGCCAGCGTATCCCATTAGCGCAGGCGGAGTTATCGTTACCATACCATTTTCACCCATAATAAAAAAACCTAACCTAGTTTTAGATGTATTATGTAGCGTAAGAACTAAAGAAAAAAGTTAATCCGCCAGGAAAATATCTAATGTCTGTTGTAAAAAAAAAAAAAATAAGCGGATGCATATTATTATTTTTTCGTCGAGTTGTTTTATGAAATCGTCCTTGAAATTTACATTTCAAATTACTTCGTTATCGCTATTGTCGTTTGTTTGTTGACGCTGAAAACAATTGTTATCGAGCGAGAAAAAAATATGTATTCATGTAATTATATATATATCTATCTAAATACCTAATATAATATCTAAATACATAATGATAAATTTATTTTTATTTAGTGCTGGCTATATATCCTGGTATTTCCCTCTAATTAGGACAAAATTAATAGTTGAAAAAAAAAAATACTCATGCAGACATTGGTTTGTTTATAATTACTGGTTATTTGATTAGAATTATTTTGTTTAATTCCACTATCATTAATTGTAGTCAATTAGCTAGTGATATAGAATTCTGCAAAATAACACCTAAAATAGTAAAATGATTATGATTATTTTTTAAGGCCATCTAATAAAAAATGTGTGTTTTCGTGTATAAGTTTTTGTGGTTATATGTTTTAACCCTTCTTTGCATGATGGTTGAAATTTTCATCATAACATTGCATGCCCAAAAATTATATAAAAGACAAAGTTCACTTTAAGTGATCGTGTCTGGATATCTTTTTAATGCCCATTGTAAAAAAACTGCAAAAAAATAGCTGTCAAATTTATTTTTTAACCATTTTTCCTTTAATTTTGAACATGAATTATATCGCCTTGATTTATTTCACCAATAAAAAAAAATCATGCAAAGAAGGGTTAATGGGTGATAATGAATAGATAGCCCAGTCTGCTTTATCGGTATACACTGGCAGGACACCAGTGAGAGATGATAGATAAGGTTGAAAAAGGTCAGTTGGCTCATAGTGACGAATTCATAAAGAGTTAATTAAGATGGTTTCTAGGGGAAACTGCGTGAAGGTTGACCTAATAGGGTTTATTGCTAGCAATGGAGCTGTTAGATCCCCAATGCTTACAATCCCTTACCCCCGCGTATGTACGTTTAAGAAGACGTATGCCCTGTGAAAAGTGATCTTTCTCACACTCATGTCGATTTGGGGAAATATAAAACTAAAAAATAACAACATTCATATAAGTCACTTACAGATCACAGCCACACAGGTACTTCTAGGGTGGTGACTAGATTATTAGTTTTTTTATAGTTTATTTGCAGTAATATTTAAATAAATAAATAAAAAATACTTCAAAATGAGGATGATTTTCTTTACAGTCACGACCACATTGAGATCATGGTGAACAGCGCTGGCGAGCTGTTGTTCTTCCGCCATCGTGAAGGACCCTGGATGCCTACGCTTCGTCTATTGCACAAATGTAAGACATGCTTTTAACAATGAATTTGTGAATGAATATAGGTATATCTACAATTGAATTAGATATATTAGATAAAGTACATTAGTATTTCTATCTATTTATAGATTTCTAGGGCTAGCAATGTCTTTATTCGAATTGTATAGTCCAACGCAAATAACTGAACTCTATACCGTAAAGCGCGGTTTCAGAGATTTTTCTCCACGAACGCTCAGGTTATGGAAATGAGCTCCCTGCCGAGGTTTTTCTAAAGACTACAGCATGGTGTTCTTCAAAAAAGAAAAGGGTTCTTCAAAAAAGATTCGCTTTTTTTTAATGCGCGAAAATGGAATGGTAACCCCACCTGCGCTAACGGGTTACGCTGGCGGAACACCAGTAATTAGATTCAGGGTATCGAAAAAATGACAACAGGTCTATTTAAATTATCATGATGATCTCATCACGGAATTAAAATGATAGTTTCCATCTAACCACGAAGGTCGACGTTTCATTTGTATATTGTTGAAACAAGGAACTTTTAGTCTAAAACTAAAAATCCATTTCCAAATTTTAAACCCAAAAGATTGCTTTAGTATATATAAAGGCTAAGCAAGCTCCCTCTCTCTTGCAATGAAGCTACTCAATGATGTTTCGAGATGGTATCTGCAATTAGACGTGTTTGCCTTCAAGTTGCTGAAGTTTCGCCGGATGACCACAAAGTGTTTATGTTCAGAGATTTAAGATATAGATTTAATTATTGTTGTATGAATTAAATTTAATTAATATTATTCCATTTAATTATACATACGTGTTACTGTACTGATGCTTTCCTAAGTGAGCGTATTGGGAAACTGTAAAGTTCACTCAGTTGATAAAATAAATAAATAAATAAAGCAAGTTCAATAAAAGCTTATAAAAAGGCCTTTCATCTAAGAAACGTCATCGTTTAGCAAATATGAATAAGGTAATATCTAATTAGGTGCCTATAAAAATTAAGTACTTGTATTATAGATTATTCTGTGCGTTTAATGTGTATGTATGTCTGAAATGTATGGTACCTAACTAATCCTGATTGTCAAGATTTCCGTAAAGTTATTAAGTTGATGTTAGTGCACGAACTTCTATAAAAAAATGGCATCATATGAATATCTTTTTTTTATTTCACGTCGTTAAACACAGGAGATGCAGTTCATCTTACTATTATAATAAAATGATAACCAGATCATGTCTGTACATAGCACATATAAAAAAAAAGAAGGTTGATAGAAGCCCAACAGAAGCTAAAAATTTTTTTTGAAATTTTGTCTGTATATCTATTTGTTTCGGCTTTACGCAAAAACTACTGCATCAAATTGAATGCAGTTTTCACTGGTATGTTTCTGATGGTCCCACTTATAATCTTGTATATGTTTTATCTTGATACGATGTCTACAAGATGGTTATTTAATTGGTTTTACTTTTCTGAACGTGTAAGAAGTACCGGGTAAAAAACTAGTTTAACATAAATACATTAAACTCAACACAATTCACATAAAAAAGCCCTAGACGGTCGTTGACTCGTTTTGTAGACGTAATTTCATTAATCAATGCGATTAGATCCACGATTAGATCTGACTATATGGATTTGCTAGAAGGTAAATAGGCAGTCGACCCCATAGGAAAGCATTACAATGGGGACAACTGGCACGCGGCGTCACTACAAAATATGTGTCGTGGAAATCGTAAATGCGAAAATAGGTTATGACGACGTTGGAGCTATAAAATTTTCAACTTTATTTGATATTTACTGTTCTTTGATTTGTTTCAAATTGTAGGAGTGTAAACAGTAAAAATATGAAATCTTTGATTGTTAGTAAAATATAAAACCGCTAAAATATTATATGAAACCGTAAAACCGATATTTATTTATATACCAGCTTTTACCCGTTGCTTCGCTCGCGATAATATTGATTTTATTCGACAATTCTGGTTGTTGGTATAGGCAGTGATAAAATTGTTATAAAAAGAAATCCACTCTCTTTACCGAGTACTTTGAGAAAAAAATGTATACTTTAATTATGAATAAACGATAATTCTGCAATATTTTGAAGTAAATCGGACGACGCAATAAAACGTTTCATACAATAATACCCTCTCTCACCCCACCCCCTATAAGTTTTTTTGCAAGAAAAAGTACCAAAACTATCTCCGAGGTCACATCTATCTTTGTACAAAAATTCATCATAATCCATTCAGCGGTTTAGGCGTGAAAGCGTAACAAACAAACAGACACTCACGCATTATAAATACGATGCGATGCATATATATTACGAGTAGTTAGAATTGCACAATAAAATTTGTACAATGGGCTAGCTTAATGCCGTATGGCATTCTCATTTTTTAATGAAATTTTGTAGGCAAATATTATATTTATATAATATTATATATATTGTTAGTTCCAAATTGAAAGGTATTTATTTATTTATTTAATTCTTTATTGTACACACTAGTTATAAGAATATGACAGAGGTAAATCAAAAGTACAAAGGCGAGCTTCACTCTAATAGAGTTTTCTTCCAGCAAACCCAAAGTGGAAAGAAGCATCAATGTCAGCGGATACAGTGTACAATATTGCGACAATTTTTAAACTGATAAAATTAAATTAATTACAAGGTAAAGGTAGATCAGAGAAAATATAGAGTGGGTAAAGCAATATTTGACTGGTCAGCTAGTGTATTATATGTATTATGACGTATCTATTACCTTAATAATTGAAGTAATTGAATTAGACCATTCATGTTTGAGCTTATGACATGTAATGTATACACGAGGTCAGGTGTCAGGTGTCAAAGTAGATATTTTAGCACATAGAAATTATTATATACTGTGATAATAGTACGATTAATATTCTGAATTGCCAATTTAGAAATTAATAAATAGAGAGGGAGACTTTATATAAAAATCGATTGCTTGGGTACCTCTGTCCCATTCGTGTTTCTACCGTGAAGCTCTTGTGTGTATAGCTGTGTTTCGATTTGAAGGGTGGGATATGGCGTGAATTTACAGGGTACAGAGGAATAACATCTGAGTCCTCAGGAATGGCAACACATGGGGGGTATCATGGGCGAAACAGTATACTCTGTTATGTCCATGGTACTGCTCATGTCTATAGGTGACGGTTACTACTTTCCATCAGGTGGGCCGTCAGCTTGTTTGCCATTTTAAGTTGTATATAAAAAAAAGACTACGGCATTACATGGCTCTGTGGTTCCGATATAGAATAAGCCACCCCTTCCTTTTTTATAGGTGTCATAAGAGCCGACTAAAGGAGGGCGAGGGACGGGCTGTAGCGTCCCTTCTAAAACATTTCTAAAGCCTGACTGCGCTTGCTAGTTCGCCTGCCAGTTGTTGCACGCTTGGCAAGTGTGTTGGCAACCGCAGTTAGGCTTTGGTGATAGTGTTTTAGTGTGGACGCTGCTGCTTATCCCTAGACCATTAAGTTCCCTTACTGGCCTCTTACGACACCCATGGGAAAGGAAGCAGTAGCTCATTCCTACGCCAACACCCCACGGCGATAATTGTATTAATTTTTTTTTATGAAACTTTGAATGCCAAACAAACTGATGGCCCACCTGATGGAAAGTGATAACCGTCACCTATAAACAGGAGTAGTTAATTAATTTAATTATTTTTTATTATTATTTCATTTCAGATCCGTTCTTCCTACCAATGCAGCAGGTAGACAAAGGTGCTATCCGCTTCGTGCTCAGTGGTGCCAACATAATGTGTCCAGGGTTGACGTCACCCGGTGCAAGGATGTCAACCGTAGAAAAGGGGCAGGTGGTCGCCGTTATGGCGGAGGGCAAAGAGCACGCCCTAGCTGTTGGAATGACTGCCCTCTCTACTGACGACATGTATTTTGATTTATGATAATTCATACTTTTATATACTGGATTAGAATGTTGATTATTGTCGTGTAGACCTTGTCGACGGGCATGGAATTACCTATAATTTTTCTTATATTGTCTATGTGTTGATGGGTATTTTTAGTGACCGGTAACACAGTTGCTAACACGGTGTTTACAAATCTCCCTTAGACAAGAGACGAATAAATCTATCGATAAATATACGTGGGAGTGAATGAGACACAACGAGAAGTCTGTCGTGTCTTACCCAGACGAGACAAATGCTTTGTCTGGGCCTCCGAATTTCTAGAGAAAGCATCCGGGGGATTATTCTTTCTCCTGTGTGGGCTAACGTAAATGTGTCTATCGGTAGATTTATTTGCCACATGTCAAGGAGAGCAGAGTGGTAAAAAACCTTGCCAGCAACAGAATGGAAGCTGAAATGACTCAATCATTTTGTTCTCTATCAATATTTATACGCTGCTCGTATTGAATACACGTTATTGATATATTTCTTTGTACAGTAATTTGCAGAAAAATAGTGGCACCAGTCACAGCAAAGTTAACTTGAATCTAATGTGTTCCCGCATTAGATTCATGTTAACTTTGCCTTTACACTCTGCAGATTGCAAAAAGAACAAAATCGGTTTGAATTTTGCGACAGTATCACAAAGTACGCACAAAAAATACAAGTGAATTGTAAACCCTCTTTCAATTCAAGAATTCTTATTCTTGTTTCGTCGATGTTCTTAAACATACATACATACATATCTATCACGGCAGGCAGAAATAATGGAACGCCAAATGCTTCAATTCAAACAGATCTTATTCAGTTCCTCTACTTCATTAATCTTTTCATATACACTCGCCGGTTACAAGTACTTATATAGATATTTATTCATTCGAATTGGATGTATAGCTTAAATGTATGGATAGATACTTATTATATTATTATATTATGTATTTTTCTTTTAAGAGGTTAATTCGAGGAAATAATAAATTTATTTTATTGTTTTCAGAGCTAAAGTGAACAAAGGCGTAGGAATTGAGAACTGTCATTATCTTAACGACGGCTTGTGGCAAATGAAACCAGTGAAGTAGATGATACAACATGTATATCTAAACATTTTTCAATATTTATATTAACTTAATTTAAGATTTTTTTTTAAATAAATATTTAATAAGTATGATAACAACACTTTGTTTTATTATCCTTGTGTTATTGGAGAGACTCTGTACAAAAGTCGATTGTTTGGGTACCTCTGTCCCATTCGTGTTTCAACCGTGGAGCAGTTGTGTTTGCATAGCTGTGTTTCAAGGGATATGCTGAATTTACAGTCAGAGGAATTCAGTCCTCAGGAATGGCAACACATGGGGGGTATCAATGGACGAAACAGTATACTCTGTTATGTCCATGGTACTGCACATGTCTATAGGCGACGGTTATCACTGTGCATCAGGTGGGCCGTCAGCTTGTTTACCATTCTAAGTTGTATAAAAAGAAAAGATATCTGGCACAGATATATTTTTATTACAAGTGCACTAAATTTGATTGCAGTATTTGTTTTATCTATTTTGCTTAATCGTGAATATTTTCGGAATTACTAGGTATTTATTGTTTTTGTGATACTGGTAGGCACGCACACGAATTTATAAGTTGATTTCCAATCGAATTAGGAACCCTAGACAAGTGACTAGCGAGCTAATTTATGAAACAGAATTCATTGTCATGTGAGCAAGTGCGAACGCTAGCCGAAACGAACTATTCTAATTCCATTGAGAGATTCGTTTAGGAAGGAATACGATTATGCTTTAGTCAGTGTGAATCTAAAAAAAGAAGTAAATTTCCATTTGTAAATCTTTGGTGTAGACTAATAACGCAGCAAAAAATACCATCCCATTTTTATTTATTTAATAAAGTCAAATCAATTTGAAAAAGTTAACTTTATTTTCTAAAGAATTTACCAGAAATTAAATAAGATGACTAACAATTTTTTTCTAATAATTGCTCTGGTCTACGTGTTTCGGATTATGCTTCTAAATGTCCCTTTTTAATTTCTTATAATAGTTACTGGTTTAAGGATACTCTAGTTAAGGACAAGACAAGCCAATTAGCGTAACAAAATTATCTATTATTATGTATGTACATTTTATCTAAATTAATAAACCACTTACATATTTGCATACATTACTTATATATTATTACACTATTTAGTACAGGAAATTAAACAAATTAACATTTTAGATATTATTATCATCTGTTTTTATATTTATTCGTCATACAATCTTGGCACCCGTCTTTTTATTAAAATATTGTATTATTACAAACGACTATAAAAAATTTTATTCTCAGTTTGACTATATTATTTTATGTGCAGAAAGGATATTAGCATAGGATAGGATAAAGGTTTATTTAATAAAAAATCACAACGCTTAACTATGTAATTTTTTTACGAACAAATTATTTTACTCAACACTTAATAATATGTAAACTGTATGTTTAGGATAGTCTGTGCTTCAACTTGTTTCATTCGTTCTTTCATTCCATTTCATTCATGTCATTAATTCAATCAAGTTTACTATTGAGTTGAAACAAGTCAACAAAATTCGATGATCATTCAACAATTTCTATCAATGTAAAAAATGGCGGTGGCACTTGTTAGTTCGGCTCGTCAGGGTAAAAACTTTTTAAACTAAATTGCAATTGAAATTTATCACATGAATTAGAATTGGTTGGTAATTAATTATTTTACTTTTTCAATATCTAAAAACTTGGGTTGCCGGCTGTCATATGGAAGTTGTTTTTATGATTTCTATCAGCTGTTTCACTGTGAAATCTTCTTATTTTAAAATTAAAGATGTGAATTATTCTAATTTAGGGATAATATTATGTGCTATTGATCAAACAAAAAGTTTTAAATAACTTACTGTTATGCAATAAATTAAAAACAACTGAAGGTTCAAAGTTCAAACTCCAGTCATTTGTTTTGTTTTTGTTTCGTCTGTAATATTGGTAATTATTTCTAGTGGGGAGGCTAACGAATGCTGCTAGGAGGTTGTATTCGGATGTTTATCCTAAAATAACCACCCACTACACTATCTATCCCAGGGAGAAGGATCCAAGATGGAAAGGTATGTGATAACCTCGAGATTTGTTTTTTATTGATAAAGTTAATAAAAACAACCAGATATCATATTTTTACTAAGTTGCTATATTTATAAAATATTTATTCACAATGTGATAAAGAAAATCCCCATATTTATGGAAGACATACACTTTATAAAATGCAAATAAATAATATATTTATACTGTTTTTTTATTTAGTTTAGATAGTTAAATATACATATTGAAAATTTTAAACTAAAAAACAAACAGAAAGTACATGTATTTGGTAGCAGAAACACTAGTGCTTTAGATGTACCCATGTTTTATTACTCATAAACATTAATATTGATTTATTTAGATATAAGTATGGAGCGTGTGGCAGAGGAGACAGATATCCTCATAATTGGCGGAGGCCCAGCAGGCATGGCGGCAGCTATCAGGGCACGGCAGATAGCCGAGGAGAAGGGTGCCGTATGTATGCCATTACTACTATGTTATTTTAATTTTTTTGTCTGAGACAAATTTTTTCAGCTTTGTTTTACTACTTATCATGCCAGTCCTCCCTCTTAGTCTTTTCCGCTCCTGCAAACATATGTATATATGTCTTGTATTCTACAAATGATGTTGTCTCTTTCTATTGTATACATAATGCATTAAAAATGTAAAAATGTCTCATTTTCTCTCACATTCTAATTACATAAATTAATTTATTGTACTTAAACCTATGTGTATAACCTAAATTGTTATACCTGTTTCTGAGTAAATAAATAAATAAATATTATGAACATTTCTTATTACAGGAAGTAAGAGTAACTTTATTGGAAAAGGCAGCTGAAGCTGGAGGGCACATCCTCTCTGGTGCATGCGTAGATCCTATAGCACTCAATGAGCTGATTCCCGATTGGCAAGAGAAGGGAGCACCAATGAACACACCAGTTACATCCGATAAGTTTGGATTCCTAACAAAGAGTGGTCGGATACCTATTCCTGTATTTCCTGGTATGTATAATCATACTAATTATCATAGTTATAATTACATTATATATTTTATAATTTAAATATATAGAAATCATCATAGTATAATAATAATTACTTTTAGGAAAAAATATTTTAAAACTGATTCTTACTATCTTAATATCTAAAGAAAGTAGAATGAAAGTATCATATGTGTAAATCACAACGGGATCCATTTATCTGCCAAATTTTATCCAAATCCATCCAACATTTATATCTTAGTAGCTAATGTATAAATATCCTTATTAGTTGTTTTATATTAGTAATATAAATAAGTATATTTGTTTAATTTTTTTTTTACCAGTACTTATTGATGTATTTTTATTAGTACATAAGCTATTTCTCAATATGTAATTAGATACATATTTCAATAATCATTGTGATTGTTAAGTATTCTTATGATATCCATTTCACCCTGTAAATAGTATTATTAATCACCTTTATATTATTAAACTATATATTTAATTTTGTTACACTAATTAAAAATTATAAGAAAAAACCTATACAGAACTAAAATACATAGATTAAAGGTACATGCTCTTTCTGCAATCAAATTTCAAGTAAATAATATAGAATGAAACTAACTATATTTGAATTGCTTGTAGGTTTACCTATGTACAACCATGGCAACTATGTAGTAAGACTTGGGCATTTGGTGCGGTGGCTGTCTGAGCAAGCAGAAGCAGCTGGTGCTGAGGTAAATTTGAAAATATTGTCACTTTGATAATAGTTGTGAACTTGCACACTTATTTATTGTAAGGATTAGTGGTAAAGCACAAGTATCTTACTGATATTGCCACTTAATATACAGTAGCGAATATGTAATCTTGTTTGGAAATATTTTCAAATGTGTAAAATATTCTACAATATTTCTTTTTGCTCAATTATTTCGTCTGTATAGATTTCAGAAGTAGTAAAACCAATGAAACAGGCCACTTCGAGATAGCATATCAATCAGTTTTTATATTACACTTTCAGGAATATGACTGTAAAAATCACATTTAATATGGTGTAGTAATTTTTTTGTGATGCCAGAATAAATATACAGACAGACAGTCATAATTTTTATATATTGTTGTTTTGGCATCTATTGGTCTTATTAAGATCCCTCATATATATATATATATATATATATATATATATATATATATATATATATATATATATATATATATATATATATATATATATATATATATATATATATATATATATATATATATATATATTTAATATCTCTCATGTATGAACATTGTCTAGTAAAAAATTTACTATATTAATAAGATAATTATTTTCATACAGAAAATTAGGTTCTATATTTTTAAGAAGTATCTAAGTGAGTATACTGGCACCAACATGTCTATAGGCATGGGTTCAAATTCCAAAAAAAAAAGATTAAAATATTAATATTTATCACATTTTAATTACCTGTACCTACATAAAGATAAATATTTTAACTAATTAGAGGCCAAGTAGATGTCGGTGATAAGAAAATCGATATGCCTAAAATCAATATTTAAATATAATCTATTGTGTAAATGTCTCAATTAATTTATATTTGCACACCAGATATTACTGTCTAATCTAAAGGCTTACAATAATTAATGATATAGATATAGGTCGATGTATAAGTCGTTAGTGGACAAGAAGGAGAGTGTTTTGGAAAATCACATAAGATTGGATTCTTTTATGCAACTTAGAATGGCAAAAAAGCTGACGGCCCACCTGATTGAAAGTGGTAACCGTCGCCTATAGACATGAGCAGTACCATGGACATAATAGGGTATTGGATTCAATGAAAAAGAAATGTGATTCTGAGCATTTCAGATTCTGGGGGGGCAAAGGTGCATAGCTCATAAGAACTGTCATATCTCCAAGTCTCACCCAGATGCAAGGTTCTTAAGCCAGCTTTTGGCAAGTGTTTAGCTGAAAAAATAATATAAATACAATCTATATAAATTATTCATTGAACTTTTTTTATGGAATGTAAATGGAACGGTAACCTTGCCAGGGCTAATGGTATACACTTTTGGGGTAGCAGTTAATGATGGTAGGTGAGATTTATTTATTCTATGAAGAGTAATGTTCCAATGTAGTGCCAAAATTGTGGTTGTTTATAGGAAAAGAAAAAAAATATATAAACAAATAAATTTTATTTTTCAGGTATGGCCAGGCTGCGCAGGCGCCGATTTAATATTCCGTGACGATGGCTCTTTGAAGGGCGTAGCGACCGGTGACGTAGGCATCGCAAAAGATGGTAGCCCAAAAGATATGTTCGAACGGGGCATGGAGTTCCATTCCAAAATCAGTATTTTTGCTGAGGGTACGATTAATTTATCACCATTTTTGGTTACTCATTATTATATCAACTCATTTTTATAATGATGATATCATAGTAGGAATACAGGGCTTGTAGGTTTTTTCACTTATGATGCTTTTGTGTAGCATATGATTAATGATTTGGAATCATTCAAAATGAGACTAATTGATACATGCAAAAGTAATATTGTATATTTGTTTGTTTGAATTCCATAATGTTACAATGATGTCTGCTGACATATTACTATAGTGAGCATTATAAACCCTTTTAGATGTAGCAAGTAACAATTGGAGAGATTGTCTTAATGCATTTTTTTGGAAACAAGTGTATTTCGCAAATTATCTTATATATTATAGTATCTGTAATATATTTTATTGTAATTCGTATTTATATATTTTTTTAATAATTAGGATAAAGTATATATTATTATTTATAAAAAAAAAATTAAATTATTTAATAATAGTATTAAAATTCTTAATTTTATGGTACTTGTTATTACTATTTATATATTTTGAGTATATTTATAAATATTGTATGTTAAATTATATAAAAATACTAGTGGCCCGGCAAACATGTTTTGGTTTCTACTGCTACCTACCAGGCTATTTTTTTTATCAGGATATAAACTATTTGATCATTCAAGTTTGAATGAGAAAGTACATTTACTTCTCAAGTTTATATTTTTATATTTGTAAAAAATATTTTGATACATTTTACTACAAATGTTATTAGGTGGTTAGAAATTAATATAAAATTTAATTAAATACTGATATTTTAATATATACCTATTATAATATTTTCAGTGCTGTTTTTATTTTCTGATTGTGTATAGAAAAAATAAATAAATAAACAATGATTTATTAAAAATAATTTTTTTCAGGGTGCCATGGTCATTTGACAAAGATGTTATCAAAGAGGTATAATCTCAGAGAGAACAGTGAACCACAAACTTATGGTATTGGTCTAAAAGAACTATGGGAAGTCCCAGCTGAGGTTTGTTCGTTATTTAATTTAAATTAATTGATTACGCCATATGTGTTAATTGTTAGTTAGGAACAATTATATCGAATTTATATTAGAAATTACTCGCGACCCATAAAATTAAAGTATATCTTCGGGCGAAACAGTATATTCTGTTATGTCTATGTTACTGCTCATGTATATAGGCGACGGTTATCACTTTCCATCAGGTAGGCTATAAGCTTGTTTGCCATTCTAAGTCATATAAAAAAAAAAATCTTTTTCAATTCCAAATACTATATGTTTGGTTAGCATACCATACATATAGTGTTTGGAACCATTTTTGTAAAAGAAAATAATATGTAAATATTTTGTTTGATCAAATTTAATAATACTTAAGATTAAGACAGGTATGCTTAAAAAATATTTTTTATGAAATATTTATGTTCAGTTTTGTAATTTTAATCCACATATCATTGATAGACAATATCTTAGTCCAATATCAATAATTTTACTGACAATTTAATTTCTTGGAAGTGATAAATATTATCAATGTATTTTGTAAACAATAATATTTTCTTTTATTAAAAATATCTGATCAAATGCCAATGAAAACAGGCTAGATCTTGTTTTTTCTGGTAATATTATTATTATTCATATTTTTTTTTAATGGGTGATAATGGAATGGTAACACCACCCGCGCTATTGGTATACACCGGCGGGGCACCAGTGAGGGATGATAGATGAGGATGAAGCAGGTCAGTTAGCCTATCGTGACAAATTCAACAAGAATTGTTCACGATGGTTTCCAGGGGGAACCATGTGGAGGTCGACCTGATAGGGCATTGCTAACAATCCTTTCCCCCCCTTATTATTCATATTTACAAAACAACACATTAATATTTCATTACTGGTATGGATCTCGTCATAACATATTAGCTTACTACTACCATGTTGATTAGGGGGAAAGGGATTATAAGTAATGGGATTCAACAGCCTCATTGCTGCAACATATCCTGTCTGGTCCACCTCCACGCGGTTACCCTGGATATCATCCTTCGATATAATACTTGTAAAATTTGCCATGATAGGCCAACTGACTTGCTTTCATCCTCACCTATAATCTCTGTGGTGCCCTGCTCACATATATCGATAGCCCAGGCGAGGTGATCATTCTATTTTCATCCATTAAATAGTAACCATGTAGACCAAGCAGCTTGGTTTAGGGTTTGTATCGAATTTTTTTTTATATTGCTTTATTGTGCATATTAACTATAATAATATATATTATATATAAAAATATCAACATAATGAACATTGTAGATTGAATAGGTTAAATATACAATTAGGTACTGTACTCTATTGTTGATGAAAATATGACCGTGTCTCTTTCTATTTAAGTATTTAATATAGAAGAGAGAGATGCACTTGTCGTTTTTCTGAAGATATGAGTATTTTAATTTATTAATTTTAATTCCAGAAACACCAGCCAGGTTTAGTGGAGCACACCATCGGATGGCCTCTCAACAAGAACACCTATGGTGGTTCATTTATATACCACCTCAATGTTCAGGAAGGGGAAGCGCCCCTGGTGGCAGTAGGGTTCGTTGTGGGGCTCGATTATAGCAACCCATATATCAGCCCCTTCAGGGAATTCCAGAGATTCAAGTTGCATCCATATGTGAAGCCTATGTTTGAAGGTATTTTTTGTTACTAGCATTTACCCGCGACTTTGTCCTTGTAACCAGGATATATCGATTGGTTAGATTAAATAGTAGCCCAAGTTCTTGTTCCTCCCATATAGCACTATATTTCATGATGATTGGTTGGCTGTGAAAGTACTAAGATGTAACAAACAAACAAGTTGACTTACTTTCACATTTATAATATTAGTAAGTAAAGCATAATAGTAGTAAGTAATTTGCATATTTAAAAACAACTAAAGATTTGGAGGGACCAGTTAACACTATCTGATTTTTAATATGTTGGTCGTATTTTATAATTAAACCCTTTTTTTCCACACTAACCATGTACTGTACAAAATTCATTATTTTAATATATATATATTTGTTGAGAATATGTCACACCTCCACGTTAAAAGTGATTGCAACATCTACTAGATGGCGTAATAAAGTAGTCACTTCTACAGTGGGAACAAAGGTTGAATGTAATTTTGTAGCCAATCTTGTAAAGGATTACATCTCTTATCATAAATATACTTACATAAGTAGTTTATTATATGTATGATAGTGATAAAATATGCTATTTATAAATAATGACCCTTTAAGAATAATATACATTGATTCTCAGAGATCTATTACATTGTATCTATCTGTTGGAATGTTGTTCTATTTTTAATAGTACTAAGTGGTAGATAGGTGGTAATTAACTGGAAAACGTGTACGGGCGGTTTTTAGTATTTACACATTAGATTAAATGTGTGAAATTGAATGGTGACATCATCAATATTTTTTGTATACTTTTGCATAAAGATATAATAAAACTTTATACCAGTTATGTGCGTTAGAAATAGAGAGAGGAAGAGTGATCCTTAGATTTTTGTATTTTATTTAGTCAACAATTTTGACATGTCTTTTTCAAAATTGGTAGTATATAAATAAGACACATTACAAAAATAATTTAATGCTAAAATTAAATATTATCTTCTTTATAAAATTAATAATAGAAAAATAAGGTATAATTTTAGAAGTATTTAATGCTAATTATAAAAGAAATATTTTATTGCTTGATTGCATTCGTAAAAAAATGATATGTTCTACCATCCCTGGATATGTATACAATTATTTTAGCTCTTTCTCTATATTTTTACCATTTCTTCCTTAGGCGGCACACGCGTGGCGTACGGTGCGCGAGCGCTGGTTGAAGGCGGATGGCAGTGTTTACCAAAGCCTGTGTTCCCGGGTGGGTTATTGGTCGGCGACACGGCCGGCTTCCTCAACATGCCCAGGATTAAGGGCACGCACAATGCCATGAAGAGCGGTAAGTAGAGTACAGTAGAGACTTGATTATCAACAGGTGGCAACCCTTACTTGCGGTCACTTTTTTTTATAGGTAACCCTATGTTGTATAGAACAAAGAATAAACTTTCGTTTAATGTAGGTATTATCAAAACTATAACTACAACACCATTATCTAGAACAAATCTTAAATGCTGGCAACCCTTTAATTTGCTGGTAATTTTTATAGGTAAATGTTTCCGTGTATAAACAAGCATGAAGTAAAAAGGATGATGAGTTTATCAAATTTATCAAAATTATTACCTATTTTCCTGGAAAACCTAGGTAGAAGCTAAATGAGAGCATTGTATTAATGTTTCTAGTAATTTTTCATTTAAACCAAGATTCATTATGTCAGTGAAATTGTCAATCTCTAAACATCCATAAATATTTTTTGTTATTAACTATGGGGTTTGTTAATTCTTAAATATTTATATTCAGGTATGTTAGCGGCTGAGGCGGCGATGGATCTTGTATTGTCTGGGGAAGCGACCCACGATAAGGGAGTCGTGCCAGCGTCATATGAAGACAAATTGAAAGATTCATATGTTTATAAAGAATTGAAGGTATGGATTTAAATTTTGATTTCGTTGTTGTTTAATATTTGTAACTGTGATACAAGACGTATAACGCCTTAGCTCTCAGGAATGGCGATAAGTTAATTGCCCTTTACATCTGTTTCCCAATAGGGTAAATAAGCAATATATCCAACCAGGTCGACCTCCACGCGGTTCTCTCTGGAAACTATCATGGTTAATTCCTGATGAATTCATCATGATGGGCTAACTGGCCTGTTTTCATTCTCATCTATCACCCTTCACTGGTGCTCCGCCAGCGTATCCTATTAGCGCAGGCGGGGTTACCATACCATTTTCACCCATAAAAAAAAAATGGGTAAATAAGGATAATTGAGTTCAACAACATTACATATTTCTTTTAGATAAGGCCATTTTTAAAAGCACATTTTTAACATGTTTTCTAATTTTTAGAGAGCAATAAAGAGTTAATACTATCATCATCACCATATCAGCCTTTAACTGTCTACTTCTGAACATAAGCCTCCCCTTCGGGGGTTTTGCCAGTAGTTGCCACGCTTGGCAGGCTTATATATATATGCCATGAATAAATTTGTATAATGGGCCTTTATATATACTGCTATTAGAAACGAGCCAGAGCAAGCTGCAACAGCTTATTCTCTGCAACACATTTACGGTCGTAGCTCTATTCAGTTGGGAGTTGTTCTACACTACATTTGCCTGCACAGGGTCACTATTAATGAATGGTCTAAATTGCAGCAAGTACGCAACTGTCGTCCATCGTTCCACACTAAGTTGGGCTTGTATGGAGGTGTCGCCTATTCCGCATTCTCAACGTTGGTCCGTGGCAAGGAGCCGTGGACTTTCAGCCATGGTGGTACGATTCATTTTTGTTCTATTTTACAATCCACTTAGCATATTGTTAGTAATTAGGATTTATCAACAATGTGAATATGTAAGTCACCATATCATGTCAGCCGTTAACTGTCCACTGCTGAACATAGGCCTCCCCTACTAGCGGGTTTTAACAGTAGTTGCCATGCTTGGCAGGCGAGTTGGCAAGCATAGGCTTTGGTAATGTTTTAATTGTTTGCCGAAATTGATGGAACAGGCGACTGGTATGATTGCGTGGTATTTATTATAAAAAAAAAAAAGATTATGTCCCACAAAAAAATCGACTTTAAATATAAAACCAGTTATTTAAAAACTAAATTTTTGAACCGATTTTGATAAAATGTATGGGATATGTGATGTATCTACGGGACCAATCTGTAGGTGTATCCTTTCAGACAAAAGTTGTGAAGTTTGTGAAAAAGTGGAGTTATGAGGTAACAAACATATAAAAATACATAAATAATAATGGTTTGAGAATTTCCTTCTTTTTGAAGTCGCTTAAATAATTGTCGTATTATATAACGTATACACTCATTGAATGGTATATCAGGTGCGGATCATGCCCAGCTGAAACCGGCAAAGGAGTGCACGCCAATAGAATACCCCAAGCCTGACGGAGTCATCACTTTCGATCTGCTGTCCTCGGTTGCGTTGACAGGTAAATAAATTTTAAATATATTGATCTAATTGTCTCTGTCGGATTGTTAGTAATGAAACAGGAGTGGAATAGAGGTACCCAAGTCAACTTATTAACTTTAAGTTGTGAAAAATGGAAGACCCCGTCTGCGCTGATGATTTATGCTGGTGGGATACAGGTGAGAAATATAGGTGAATGAAATTAATAAATTTAAAATTTCGTTTTTCAAATTGGGAATTTAACTCTAAAGAAAGACACGATATAGCCAAATAGCTAAAATAGTTTGATGAAAGGTTTGACGTTTTTATAAATAAGGGGAATAATGTGTAACGTTTGAATGTCACAGGCACAAACCACGAGGCGGATCAGCCGCCGCACCTGACGCTACGCGACGACACCGTGCCCGTCAAGAATAACCTAGGCGTGTACGACGGACCCGAGGCACGGTTTTGTCCGGCAGGTTGGTACATAGTACTGCATAGCAGTACATAAACAGCACTATTTAGCAATTAGGTCCACACTTAATCGACATTGCCAGATTGGGTATTTTTTTCGCAATTTTGGGTAATTTTTTTTGAGAAATTTTTGGATTAAAATTAAATCAGTGTGAAGAAATATTTTGTCATTCGCATAGTGGTTTTTTGGTAAAATGCAGTGAAAATTTACTAAAATTTTTGTTTTTCAACTTCTGAAATCCACATGTACAAAGTAGCGGATAAAAAGATTGTTTAATATAAAAAAAAAAAAGAAATTAAGAAATTAAAAATATCTGAAAATGTTAACAAGTATATTTTTTCTTATTTGACGACTCTTGGGTATATTAAGTATATTGATAACTAGATTTTACCCACGACTTCGTCCGTATGACCGGGATAACTAGTAATATAGGCTACTTTCCTTCCTTACCTTCTCCACCTACGTATATATCAAATTACACAGTGATTGTTTAAGTTGTTAAGGGGCTGTAAGGTAACAAACAAACTCACTTTTTCATTTATAATATTAGTAAGGATTCTATGTTTATCATTATTCACTCTGATCAGTCAACTATTTATGTACTGACTAGATTTAGATTTTTTTATTTCTTAGATTTATATGAATGTATAGTATTTGATTTATATTGTACAAATTTTATTGTTGTTACAGGTGTATACGAATTCGTGCCTTTAGAAAGTGGCGAAGGACAGAGGTTACAAATCAACGCACAAAATTGTATACATTGTAAGTATATTGTTGTATATATATATATATATTTTTTTTTTTTTGGATGGTCGAAAATAGTATGGTAACCCCGCCTGCGCTAATGGGATGCGCTGGCAGAGCACCAGTGAAAAGTGATAGATGAGAATGAAAACAGGCCAGTTAGCCCATCATGATGAATTCATCAGGAATTAACCATGATAGTTTCTATATATTTATATTAATTATATATTTTGTGATAGACTTATATTTTTCGTACTCACGTATCAGTATCATCTTCAGATTATTTATCAAATAGTATAAGCAACCCAAAAATGTTTACAAAATTTTACACGCTACTGTACAATTAAGTTCATCTCAATCATCTTACATTTGAGTATGATACATTAGCTCCCTATACACATTACAAACGGAAATATTGATAGACCCGTTTATGTAAAGTATTTGTATCTCTTTCTATCAAATTCACACGATAGATGACAAACCTATTGGCACATGTTTTAGACATCATACACATGAGAATGAGAGGAAGAATGAAAATGAGAGTAGACTAGTTTGTCTCTTAACTAGGCTGACTACTACTACAGATTCTACCACTATTAGTTAAATAATTTTTTTTCGTATTGTATAGACACTGTCAATTGAGTAAATGGAAAACAATTTTTGTTATAATGTTACGTCAAATGCACCTACTGCTCTGGTTTTATACGTTGTCTATATTTTTGCTCAATTCGTTTGCTGAAAACTAAGATAACTAATTAATATTATGTTCTTTTTTAGGTAAGACGTGTGATATCAAGGATCCGTCTCAGAATATCAACTGGGTGGTGCCGGAAGGCGGCGGCGGCCCCGCCTACAACGGAATGTAACTGCTCACTGCCGTGAACATTATTCTAAACCTTATAGTCATGAAGTACACGATACAGAATCGCTCGGACGCTTCCAGACAGTTACGACTTTGTATAACATAAATTATTATTTATTTATTCGGGTTACAAGTTAATATTTATGGATGTTCGGTTTTATGACGTAGCGTCCACTTTTATAAATATAATAATACGTTTAAATCTACTTAACATATACCAAAACAAACTGTGTTACAGAAACAATTTTGGCCTACTAATAGTTCATTAATAACATCAGTACTAGGGTTGTGATACTAGCCTTGTTGAGTAATAGTTTGTCTCTGTCATTCGGTCTTATATCGATTAATATAATCGATTAAATTAATTCGACTATATATCTAAAATGTACATGAATCAATAGCAATTTCATACTTAGCCAATATTACCATAATTTTATTATTTTTCAAAACACTTCATTTTTAATATATTCTAAAGTTATATCAACAAATAATTTCAAAATTCTTGGGAACAAAATAATTAAGAAAATGTTGCTGTTTGTGTCATATTTGTACAGTCATGTTGTTATTCAAAATAAATACAAGTTAAAAACAGCTTTATTACAAGAGTACAGTTTTTAACTTGTAACATATTTTCATTTATAGTATACATTTAAGATAAAATGATTAGGAAGGCTGATAACACAAAAACATTTTTATACATGCACTGAATCGGCTATAATATGATCTATAAATATTGAAAAGAATAAAAAATGTATTTATGTATAAGGAACGGAAGATATCCTTCGTACCAATTTATTGAGTACTTTTAGAACATATTTTAATAAAGATGTAATTAAAAAGTTTTGTCACAAGTATATCATAATATACTGTAAAATATGAATGTCATTGTCAAAAATATTATGTCATTGTCGAGAATTTTCTGTCGCTTTTAAAAATATCATGTCAGTGACAGAATATCATGTCATATAATATATGATAAAATTTCTGATCATAAGACCTCATGTCTGATTTTTTTAAATAGGTTTTTATTACTTGTTCCATTTTGAACAATTTGTTATGTAATCATAAGCTGAAAATTTTATATCCCATTTATCATATTTGAGATTTGTATACCTAATGAGTTTATATATGAAATAGCGAAAATAAAAAAATTAAAACTACAAGTTATATACATATTTTTGCATACTGCTATTTGTACTTATTATGTATTTTATTCGAGTCAATTTATATATCAAGAATATATCTCATTTTGTAAATATTTTAACTTAAATATTTTACAACAATCATTAAAAAAGTCAATGGAGGCCTAAAGTTCTAAATGTGTGTCGCAGGCGTTGTGTTATTTATATATATATACTTATCGTGTAGTTGTGAGAGTGTATTGACACCCAGAGATTCAGAGTTCATTAGGTAAGTGTTATTTTGTATTAAAGTTTAGCCAGAATAAAATATTTTTCAATAAATTTCTATACTGTATTATTGTTCAATCCTCACGTCATTTAATTCTGAAAGAATTTTGAATTGTGGTCAAATTAATATCATTGAAAAGGGAAGAAAATTACAAATCTAAGCCTTACAATCACAAGCCTCTCAATCACCTAATACAATGTGCGTCCCACAAGATTGTAGCGCCGTCACAGGCGCCTTGCGTCATTTCTTACGGGCGGTATCGTTCATCCTTTGAATTAGGGATCGATAGGCGGCGGAAGTCTCCAGTTCAGAGGCCGATTGTTTACTCATTTGTTGCAGTCGTCCACTCACCTTCCTCATACTCCAAAAATATCGCTTGATTTACTAATGAACACACCATGTATCCACTACTACAGGCATCCAGTCATCCATATATAGAGGTAGTATAGATGACGGATTGATTTAAATACTGCACTGAAAACTATAAAAAAAAACGTATTTAAAGAGAGATTCATTTATAATTTGCTTGCAAAAAGTGGCTCTTTTAAAAGATTTAGCAAGAAATAAATAAAATATATATTATATTTTAATTTCAATTAATGAAAGTGTTTGATACTTATTTCACGCTGTCAAAAATTCTTTATCTTTTCTCCTAGAAAAAATAAATGGTTAATTTTCATTTGACATTGTAAGGTGACAATTTATTGGAATTTGGGTACATAGAAAAAGACAAAGAGTAGGTGGCGCACTATATACATATACAAACATATATAAATACATACATACATACATATATATACACATACATATATAATATATACACAATTAAATATATACATACATACATACATACATACACATATATAAATATATACACAATACAAGCGGTGAACATTAATGTTTCTGTAAATGAAAAATTATCGTTATAATGATCGAAGTAATGCCATTCCTGTTATCATGTATGTTGGTAAGTTATTGATTACTTTATATACCCGCTGTTCCATTAATTTGTGCATTTACTCAATAACTTTGTATCAAATAGTAAACATAGATTAAAAAAAAGAATTACGCACACTAAAAATATATTATAATCGAATTAAAAACTAAATATTTTTTTTAACCGATTTTAAAAAAAAGGTAGTATTCGATTCGGTTCATTTTTTATGTTTGTTACATCATAACTCCGTCAATTATAAAACGATTTTGAAACTTTTTTTTTATCTAAAATGATATACTTACAGATTGGTTTCATAGAAATTTTATCAAAATCGGCTCAGTAGTTTAGTTTTTAAATCAAAATAACTGGTTGTGCCTTGACTGAAGTCGGTTTTTTTTTGTAGAACACATTACACACATTTGTAAAAATTTCGCTGTGTATGTGTTAACAAAAAGGTATGTTCACAGATTATATAATAATGTAATCTGATATAGCTACTAGTATAGTATTTTATTTATTTAATAACTTTATTGACTAAATGAAAATACGGTACAAAAGGCGGACTTTTTTTATGTAACTTAGAATGGCAAACAAGCTGACGGCCCACCTGATGGAAAGTGGTAATCGTCGCCTATAGACATGAGCAGTACCATGGACATAACAGAGTATACTGTTTCGCTCATGATACCTTCCATGCGTTGTTATTCCTGAGGACTCAGGTGGTATTCCTCTGTATCCTGTAAATTCACTGCCATATTTCATGCCCTTTGAACGGAAACACAGCCATGTAACACAACTATTTCACGGTAGAAACGTGAATGGGACAGAGGTGCCCAATACGCCTTTTGTACTAAGTCTCCCTCTGGTGAAGTTCTATTGGTGGACTTAATGCATTTCATTCACATTCTACCATATTTTTAATACACAATTAGGACTTAAGGCGGTAAAAAGTTTTTCTACACGCTAAGTCCCGATTGGGTATTCTCTACCAATTAAACTTTACCTATTTCATCTGTGATATAGGTATGACCGACAGTAAGTTACCTTATTGAAACAAATACGCACTTAAGCTCTAAGTAGATTAACATTACAATTTATTTTCGTAACATTGCGGTCAGACAATTCATGCCATAATGTAAGACCGAGTTAGACCAAGGACAAGAGAATATGTAGGTACCTATTTATATAGGTACGCCCCAGAGGGTAGGAATTTCAATTTTTCGCTACATAAACTCGATCGTATTATGATTTAGGTTTCTTTTGATCTTAATGTATTTTTTTTAACTAATAAAAGTAAAAGTTCGGTGTACATATAGTGAAAAAATTAATACGTTACAGAGTCAATATCAAACTTTTTATTATAAAAATAATTATAAAAATCAGTTTTTATAATACTTTTGTAATTGAAAAGCATACAGTCTAATTGAAACAGTTTTCCGTATGAAGTCCTTTATGGGCTAAGTCCGCCATTTCATTTATCAGTGTTCAATGTGAATTATGTACAATATTTTGCAATACAATACAAGTCGCTTTAAAATTTCATTTGCATTGGACGAAAGAGTATTCGTTCTCTTGGCCGTCAGAGTGTAAGTTCATGGTGCTAGGTTCATATATATAGCATCATGAACTTACACTCTGACGGCCATTTTCTCTATGATGATGAGCCATGTCCGCAACGCTATTGGGATACATCGATCATTATCCATTATATAATATCTTGGGAACTATATGAGTATATAACATTTATCATCATATCAGCCTCTAACCGTCCTCTGCTGAACATAAGCCTCTCTTTTGGGAGATTTTGCCAGTAGTTGCTACACTTGGCAGGCGGTATGACAACTGCAGTTAGGATTTGAAGATGTTTTAATAGGGACGTTGCTGCCCATCCCTCGCCCTCCCTTAGACGCCTCTTACGATACCCACAGGAAAAGAAAGGATGGCCTATTATATGCCGAGATCACACGGCCATATATAACATTACAAGAGGGAACTTGGAAGGTTTGGCAACGCGCACGTGACACCTCTAGTGTAGTAGATGTCCATAGGCTACAGTGATCGTTTACTATTATAGTGGCTGTATGTTTGTGTGCCACCTTTGTGGTATAAAAAAATAGTCAGAGAAAAAAGAAGTTTGAGGTTAATAAAATTAATATTGATAAAATTAATAATAATATTGATAAAATTAAAATCGAGCTTCTTCTCCTTCTTCTTTTCTTTTGAAATAAATTCATGAATTATGTGCTTGTAATGGTGAATAAATCTATCTATCTAGCCATGAGGTAGGTCTTGTTATAATCTGTGGTAGCTTGTTTGTTATTTCATGTTACATAAAACAAAACTTGGTCTAACCCTACCCGAACAAGTACAGTACTTGAACAAATAAGTACAAAACCTATATGAAATATGTGCATTATTTTTAAGTAGGTCAGAAGATACATCGACGCGGATGGCACGTGAGTTATTTGAAAAATGGCGTATATTGACACTTTATTGGCTTCATAAACGCAACGGGCAATAGATTGCCCATTAAAATCATTTTCCCTGGCGTAAGCTTGGCCCATAACCCCTTTATGGATATCGCGCACCTGCCACCGACTTCGTTATAATGGAAATTGAACATTTTTACATTACCTCTTTTGTTTTCATCAAAGTAATGAAGTACAATTTTATACATGTAAAAAATACTATCAGTAACTTTGATACTACATTCTGTTAGTGTCACTTGTTTAATAAAAAAAAATCTTGCCATACACACTAAAGTTATTTATTACATTTATTACAGTGTTTTTTTTACTACACTTTTAATTATTTACTGGTTCACTGGACTCACGTTGCTCGAGACCCTTGCTTCAGGGGAGCCTGGATAGTAAATCTAACTAGTTAATCTTACTAGTCAGATCGGCGGGGAGAAACCAGCTCCGAAGCTGGGCAGCAAATTGACTACCCTAAATTCGGTAATCGTGATTGATGAATCACCGAATTTAGGGTTTATATCAGTTTGTATAGGTATATATATGAACTGAATCAGTATGTAGAATATTTTATATTATAAGTTAAGTTATCTAAGTTAAGTTTTAAGTAAATTAATTAAATTTGATAGGAAGATAGCGTTATAACTAACATAACTATTACAATATAACTTGTCTGCGTACCAAATTTAAACCGGTTCAGTAGCTTTTGCGTGATAGAGTAACAAACATAGATCCATACATCCAATGGTGTATGGAAATTACTGTTTGTATTTTTTTAAATATATTTTTCCAAGTCTTTCATATTGAATTGATCGTGCACCTGTACTGTTTTAGACGTTCAACAATTTCGAATTTTACCTATTTTTTATGATTGTGATTATTTTTGCAATCAGTTTTTATTAATGAATAAAGAAGGAATAGTGTACCTTATTCTGAAGTAGGTCAGTTAGCCTGCCATCACAAATTCACTACAAATTACCCTCCATGGTTTCCAAAGATTTTTTCAAAGATGACCGCATGGAGGGCGACTTGATAGGTTATATTGCTAGCAATGGGGACTAAGTTCAATTGTAATATACTAGTATTTAAGATTTTGATGACTAGCTGAATAGTAGATACAAGTGTAATAATGGTTGTTAGATTAGCAGCTAATATACTAAAGACGGGGGGAAAGGGATTGTTAGTAATAAGGTGTAATTTCCCCATAACTAGTAATACACCCTATCAGGTCGACCTCCACGCGGTTTCCCCTGGAAATCGTGATCAATTCTAATGTAATTCATCACGTTGGGCTAACAAACTTGCTTTCATCCTCATTTTTCACCCCTCGCTAGCGTATACCGATAGCGCAGGCGGGGTTACCATTTTATTATCATCCATTGAAAAAGAAATACTAAAGACTAACGTTTCGCCCGTTACTTTGTACGCATGGATTTCAAAGGTAGTCAAACCAATGAAATATATCACTAGATGGCGTATTTAGATATTTGTACTAGATTTTAAATTAGCCCTTCAGGAATACAACTGTGTGTAATACGCTGACAGACAGACAAACGAAATATCTAAAAAATATTCTTTTGTTTTTATATATTATTACATTCAATTTTTTTCTTAAATATTTCTCATGTTCAGACATGGTCTAGTTACAATTTACTTCCGAATATATTAGTAAGATTACACCACACGAGTACAATGAATAATTAAGCAATTTAATCGCGGCGCTAAATTCTGGGGACGGAGCAAAAACTCCAAGCAACGTGTACAATTTAGGCCAACTTAATTAAATTTCAAGGGAACCGGTTTGCACATTAAAAAATAAGATGTAACAGGCAGAATTTATACGAGTAATAAAGTCGCCGTGCCCGCTAACACCCTATTCCGGGCTGATGGGCCATTTACCATTTTTACGATGTAAATTTGTTTAGACCTTAACCTCAACCCTTAACCTTGTATTATACTAGACTATGGCCCGCGGGTAAGTGTGAGTATAATAGATGCCAAGGAATACCTACGTCATAAATTAAATTAAAAAAGAAAGAAGGTCGGTTTTTTTTTGTGCGCTTGTAACGTTATACCTTTATTTTATTGTACACAAAAACTACATTGATATAAATTATTCTGGACAAAGATGTAAAACAGGCGAGTTCTTTTTCTATGTACTAACCCAGAGTGTTAATATTACTAGGTATCCTTCTTTCGGCTTCACCACTATTCTACATATAAATTTTGCCACGAATGAAGTCCATATTTTTGTTTCTATTTTTTTTTTTATTTATTTATTATGTGGAATTTGTAGTGATAATTAAGACATTCGTATTACAATAAGAAATTATCACTTATTGAAGATATTTTTATTTAAAAAATAAAAAAAAAAAAAATCCTTTTGACGGTCGGTCGACAATGTCGGTTAACTCAGTGATTTTTAAGGTTATAATTGAAGGAGCCCAAAACTCTTAAAGAAATTTAAAAAGTATTATATATAAATAAATAAATACGCAACCAATCCACCTACCAAGCGTGGCAACTACTGGCGAAATCTTCCTTTATGGGGAAGGCCTTTGTTCAGTAATGCACAGTTAAAGGGTGGTATGATGATGATTAAATAAATATGCACCCGATATAATAATTCTCTTCTTTTCTCTTTAAAATAAAAAAAAAATGCTTTATATAATATCCTTCAATGCTTCGTTAGACTGCTACGAGATATGTATATTTTAAATTACATTAAAACTTTGCAGTTAAAATTGAGTACACATGAGTATCCTGAAATATTCCATTTTCAACTGAAACTGGTTTCATTACCTCTTCTATTTAAATACAATTAGTAAATTAACGGTTTAAAACGTTCAAAGGAAACTTGGCATTATAATTTAAATGTGTTAAACAATGACAGTGTTCGTATTTCGTTTGCATGGAGTCAGTCACCTGAGAACTTATTTTAAAATTTAATATTATTATAAAAATCATTAAATTAGAATGGCAAACAAGTTTATTACCAAATTTATAATTTCATTTAAACCTGATTCATCGGTGTAAGCAATATTCTCATTTAATTTGTGGATTGAGGATTTTTAAAACAATTTTTTTGGTATTGGTTGTTAATAAAATACCGTTATACTTACAGTGTGTATTACAAAAATATTTTGTATGAAAATGACCCTGGCTCAATCACCTTAAAGTCAAATTTCATATTTGAAATAGGTAAGTTGGTAGGGATTATTATGTTTTACACCTACCCTTATTTCATAAATTTCATTCCGCAAAATTTCTAAATTAATTACTTACCTACATTAAATAAATTGGTGCCGGTCCCTAGAAGTAATTCTAATTAAAGCTATATTATATTGTAACTAAAATCTTGTAAACAGTAAAACTGTTTACTTCAAGATTAACTTGACCTTTCAGTGGCTAGTCCTTAGTGATTAACTTAATGCATGTAAAATCAAGCGTTATGTTGAATTAAGAGTGTTGTTTCTATTATAATAAGATTTATAAAGCAATTTTACATTTTAAAAGCACTCGGTGATTGCTGAACAGCGCCAATTCCATTTAATTTATTACGTTCTATAAAAGTGTTCTTTGCTTTAGTAATAACAGCTTATTACGACGCTGGCTTATACTCGAGCAAGAACTATTAAATAGATTGAAAAATACGATTAACTAACTAAAACTGCAACTTCGTCCATATGATCATTATCATTTCAGCTAGTATACAGATAATGGCTGAAATTAATGAAACATAGGCCTTCTTCATAGACTGCCATAAGGAACGGTTCTGAGCCACCTGCATCCACTGACTCCCTGCAATGTATTTGAGGTCGTCACTGCATCTAGTGGTGGGTCGTCCATATGATTGTAATACAAGAATTGACTATGATAAAAAAAAATCGATGGTATTCTCCAGCTTAAGTAGGTACTATATGTATGTCAAATTCCATACTATTATTTGAGTTATTAAGGCGTCAAGGCGTTAGTAGTAGTTTTTATCTGCGGCGTCGATTGCGTGACATAATATATGGATATGCCGGAATAAAAGGTAGTTTATATCCCATTTCATTTATATACATATAGTATTAGGTATACATTTTATGACAATGGGCGAGCCGTCAAACACAAACTTATTTTGACATTGATAACACCAGTAAGGATTAGTAAGGTCTAGTAAAATCCTTTCTGAGATATTGACCTTTTGAGATTTGAATTTGATATGTTGAGTAAGGAATTTGATATTTAGGGTAAGTAGTTATCTTAGCTTATGAACGCTTGCAATACTTGGGGTATTACGCGCGCGTTGCCGACTCTGAAGGAAGCTCTTTATCCCTTTTTTGAAGAACCCCATGCTGTAGTCTCTTAGAGAAACCTCAACAGGGAGTTCATTCCATTACCTGATCGTTTGTGGGAGGAAACATCTCTGAAACCGTACTGTACGCGACCATTCATGATTAAAGGTATGAGGATGAACTTCCTGTCGGTGGCGAGGTTATGCAGCACTCCTAAATTATAATAAAATTCGAAAAAGTACCTTCCATTAATTCTATCTAATAGGATTATTTGTTCTTAAACTGAATTTAGTTTTTGAAAGTAGAAACACAAGTGAGATTTGAGATAGAGTTTTGTAAATATGCGGACAAAAGTATTTAGAAGATTTGGATGTATTTACATAATGTCTATTTCTGGTGGAATTTAAAATTTAATTTCTACATAAAGTACCTACCTATTTTATTCTTCTGCAGAGGTATTTTAACTTTTGTGCGCCTAATCTGTGTTTTTTTTCTACGCAAGTATCTTCACCTGGCAATGTTTCAGTTTTGCGCAAAAGTGAATTTTTATAAACTCATTTATGCCGTCATCCGAGTTCCACAAAGAAGGGAGAATTGAAAAAGTTTCCAGAAATTTAATTCCAGTTTTGAACAAAGCGTTTTGGCTGCCGATGTGTTTTTATTTATTTACTTTTTTACTTTCTTTGTCTCTATAATTACTTATTATCTTATTTTCAGCGTATTTTCGTAATAGGTTTTTCCGCCTACTTCGTTTTATAAATTTGTCTAGACAGCCAATATATAACGATTAGTTCTATTTGTACGTATGTAGATTATTCTTAATATTTCGAACAGAGACTAGCTGCCCCTTTATACATTATTATATAATTTTTAATCTATCAGAGAATCTTTTAATCTAACAGAAATCAAGTAGGAGTTACCATTCCATTTTCATTTATAAAGTTATAATCGTATGCTGAGATGCAGAGAGCACAGCGCGATATAGTAATTATTTCTGATTCTCGCAAATAATACTAATGTATTATGAAAAAATCTATTAAACAGGAATTAGAAGTAAAAGTAAAAAAAACATTGTCGCCTAAATAGAAAAATGTTTTCTTTTTTTAGCATACTTGCAGCGTATGTGGTAGACATGCTATGTTTGTGTGTTTCTCATATGCTTTATCCTACGCAGTGGGAGACCGTGCCATTATTTTATGTGTCTACACCTTATTTTATTATTAATTATTTTAGTGTACCGCCGAAGACTACTACTACTACCCTTATAATATATCCCGGACAACCTTGTCTGGGATAGCAGCGTACCGTTCCGCCTTGACCTTGGATTGGTTGGCGGCAGAAGATTCGAGGCAGAGGGAGCTAGTTGCAGCGTTTGAAACCGCATCGTCTCCGCCCGCCAAAGTACTTACAACTGACTGCATAGCGTATCCGAGACCTTCTACAGTAAAGATTGCCAGGCTCATGCTGGAGCTCTTAAAGTAATTAAAAAATTGTCCCACTGAAAAATTATATATACTATAGTACTTATAGTATATATAGCTTTTCATTGAATTAGAATGTAAAATAATTTTCTATCCCATATAGTGCGTGTAATATATCAAATTTGATAGAGATTTGTTAAGCCATTAAGATACTAAGAGGTAATAAAGAAACAAACTCAGTTTCAGATTTATAATATGAAGTTTAAATATAAATTAGTAAGAAAGTATGGATATCATCATCATATCAGACATGTATGTGTAAAATTGTACGGAGTTGGGGCAATGTCTTTTTGTAGGTGACTGACAATTTTACTTTTGTTTATAGCTTAAGATCCGGCTGCTAAATTTTGCATATTTAAAACTTTTTTATGAAACTTGGTTTAAATAAAAGATACGCATAAATATAATAAAATGCATTCGAGTTACCTATATATATGATGACGATGATTAAAGGCAGGCCGGGTGGGCTGTGCCCACCCCAGAATTACTAGTGCCCATCTTAGGATGCGAACCAAACTTGAGACATCTCTAAGTATTCGCATACATACTCTATCTATATTTATACTATATTAAGGATCCAGAAAAATATTGTTTGCCGGAATCGTCATCGAAGAATTTTATTGATATATTCCACCTTGCAACTGAAAATACAGAGAAGCGATCACAGCAGCAGGATGTTTTACTATAAGTGAATCTTTCAGAAACCTCGAAGGCGATGACGGTACTCTAGTTTCTAATCTAATTCAAACACTGCTGCGAACTAAAATCTTAGTTAAAACTTCCATGCTGGACGCCGAACCAGATCTCGAGGCGCTTGTAAAGACCCCTGGAGTGTTGATGGGTGAACCGCACACAACTTTCCCAAGGATACTTGCTATGATTTGGTTGACAGTTACCGATCCAGTGTCAACTGGGAAGTATGGATGGTGTCCCATAAATAAGGTTTGGATTTCTCAAAATCTTAGGTTTATAAATTATATATTAGATATGATATTAGTTTTTTAAAAGCTTACTCGAGCTTATACCGAAGTTTAACAATGCATTGTATTATATAAAATATATATATATATATATATATATATATATATATATATATATATATATATATATATATATATATATATATATATATAATTTCTGAATATCTTTACAAAGTTAAAGTCTTATAGCGAACTATAAAATAATATTATATTTTACAACTACTTAATATTTTTCTTTCAGTTTTATTACATTACGTTTTTATAATAAAAAATTGTATTCCACAAAAAAACCGACTTTAATTATGGGAAAACTAGTTATTTTTTAATTTTCATTTTAAAACTGAAATACTGAATAGAATTGATAAAATTTCTATGGGACCAATCTTACAGTACTTACAGTACAGCCTTTCCGAAAGGAATTTTCCAAATCGGTTTACGACTGAGTTATGAGGTCTTGAGAATCTCCTTTTTTCTGAAGTCGATCGAAAATTCAAAATGTCTTGGTAGTTTCATAAGAGTCTTATTGAACAATTAAAGTTTGAATTCGCTTAGGTATTTACCGACAGAGGGCATTATTCTTTTCAATGATAATATTTGAGTTACAGATAGTGGTTGAAATCAATTCCTGAATTTACTCTATTATAGGTGAACAAGTATTTATCAGTAACAAAACCTACGCAAATAGCTAAAAATATACGAGCCTTGGATCCGATATTGGCGCGAGCTCGCTTCATTATGGAGGAGTTTATACAGAATATGACCCCTCTGAATATGTACCCGAAGAAGACAACCGCAAGCATTGAGAAGGTATAACCCTATTGTATTCTATATCGTCGTTCTATAAACGAGAAAGTTTGTTAAGATGTAAGATGATGTAAAATAGATATTTTTGTTACTTTTTCACGCAAATTATTGTTCACGTTTGTTATTCTTTCTTGCACTTAAGTATGGCAACGTATAAGGGGTATCATGGGTGATACAGTATATTATATTTTGTTCATGACTATAGGTGATGGTTACTACATTCCATCAGGTGCGTCAGCTTGTTTGTCATTCTAAGTTAGCATATACATAATTTAAGACTGTGTTTCACAAAACACTGACTTCAATTGTGGAAAAGCAATTTATTTTGATTTAAAAACTAAGCTCTTAAACCAGCTTTGATAACATTTCTGTGGGATCAACTGTAAGTATATCCTTTCAGATTAAAAAAATACTTTTTTAAATCGGTTTACAACTGACAAAGTAATGAGGTAACAGACAAAAAAAAATATACCTGAATTGAGAATCTTCTTGTTTTGAAAGTCGGTTAAAAAAATTTCGGAGAGTATTTTCTTGTATCCTTATGTCGTCTTCAAACTTGACTTTACATCTTATGTAAATAAAAATGTATCCCTACATGTGTTAAGAAGCATAAAACTAGAGAACGTCGGCAATGATTTCGGTTAATTTTGTTTCAAATATAGACGTCAATCTCAAAAACAAACAGTATATCGATAGTATGTCGATCGTAAATAAGTACTATTCAATTTCAGGATGAAACATACAATTTGGCCAATGCGCTTTCTCTAGGCACTTCCGCATTAGAGACGGAGCTACCTATTTTTGATACTTATGAAGAATTTATGAGCAGCGTTGCTAGTTTACTACAAATATCCAAGATTCATGTCATCAATATTACTGTGATTTGGTGTTTAGTAAATTTTGTATGTTGACTTTGATTTTATTATTATTTTTTTTATAATAATAATTTTTTATTTGAAGCAAAAACAAAAACATTTTTTTTATACAACTTAGAATAGCAAACAAGCTGACGGCCCACCTGATGGAAAGTGATAACCGTCGCCTCTAGACATGAGCAGTACCATGGACACAACAGAGTATACTGTTTCGCCCATGATACCCCCTGTGCGTTGCCATTTCTGAGGTCTCAGGTGTTATTCCTCTGTACCCTATAAATTTACGCCATATTTCACCCTTCAAACCGAAATACAGCCATGCAAACATAACTGCTTTACGGTTGAAACACGAATGGGACAGAGGTACCCAAGCAAAAAAAAAAAATATATATATATATATATATATATATATATATATATATATATATATATATATATATATATATATATATATATATATATATATATATATGTCCAGCGCTGAACGCAGCCTCCTCCGTAAGGAGGGTTTTTGCTATTTGTTGCCACGCTTAACACGCGGGTTGGCAACCGCAGTTTGTCTTTTGGTGATGTTTTAAGACGGACGAATATAACACTATACGAGTAATCCTCAGGAATGGTACCGTATGAGAGGTATCATGGGTGTCAGAGTACATTTTGTGTTCTCCATGATATTGATATATATGATTGTTTACAGGCCACGGTTACCATTTTCCATCACGTGGGCCGTCAACTTGTTTATCATTTTAAGTATTACAAAAAAGCCGGTCAAGTGCGAGTCAGACTCGCGTATTGAGCGTTCCGTAAAAAAATCATCAAGTTTAAATATTTTTTTGTGAAATAATTACAATTTTACGTATTACGGATTTTTTCTTTACTTCTGCTACGTGACATTACTTCTTGCCAAATTTCATGATTTTATGTCAACGGGAAGTACCCTATAGGTTTTGATTCCCTTTGTGAATGTCAAAATATGCGATATAAATAGAATATAAACGGCCGTATCTCTTGATTGCGTCGATTTAGAAGCTTTATTTTTCACTGCTTTAAGAGACTGCAGACCTAGGTATTTATTTTTATTTATTCTTTATTGCACAATAAAACTTTGTACAAGTGGCGAGCTTAATGCCATATAGCATTCTCTACCAGCTAACCATTAGGTAAAAACAGAAAAATTTCGTTTGTATGGAAGTAACTGATGTTATAATCCTGTACAGTGTTCAGTCAGCATCGATTGAATTAACTTACGGACATCGTTTCCTGAATACGATTCAATGAATCGGAGCCAATGATACTTGCAGCATATCGTTTTTATTATTTTGTCTACATCCATATTATATGGGGCAATGCTTCAGTTCTATTGTGTGAACGATGCCACAGATAGTAATTCATTATATCTCACAAAAGATAAGTAGACGAAAATGTCATGGTTTCGCCTTCGCTAATGTGGTATTTCTCTTTCATTTTATCTTTCTTCCCTACCTTATAAAGATAATGTTTGTTTATATATAAATTTCACACTTTTAGGAAAAGGATTATTAGTAATGGAGTTAACAGCCCCATTGCTAACAATGTACACGTTGATTTCCGTATAGTTCCCCCCGAAAATCATTGTGATTAATTTTTGAGATTTATCATGATGGGTTAACTGACCTACTTTCATGTTCATTTATCATCACTCAGACCCCGCCAGCGTATACCGATAGCCCAGTAGTCGATGGACCCATTAATTATGGCATATTCCACATTTCAAACTAAAATACAACTATGTAAACATAGCTGTTTTATAGTGAAATTACTGTGACAGAGGTACCATGAGGTGAATATAATAATTATATAGTCTTTCTTTCTGGTAAATCGAGCATTTCTACTCTATGCTTTTGCATCATGCCATAGAAATTGGGACCACAGTCTTAGGTAGGACTATCCTTAATGTATGCATTATTCCGTTAGTTTCAAATTACTCTGTTTCAATAAATAATAAATTCCTTTTGGATCATAGATAAACTATAGATTTGATTGGATTTGATACAAAATCATCATAGAAAGGGTACTTTTTATCTATGGTCTTTTTATTTAATTATACCTAAGAGAGTAAAACTCCAAATTGTCAAATTGATAGAGAAGAGATTTAATAGTGAATTTCGAGTAACATGGGGTAATGAAATATATATATATTATTACTATAGCAAATTAACATGAGTGTGTCAGTACGGAGATGGGATCAAAGCTGAGTTGTGTGTTGTTTTGGTTAGTCGTAATAGTGCGTATCTAACAATTGTTCTAAATTAGGTACTTTAATGTACATATATTCCGATATGAGTATATATAATAATGTAATAAAGCGGGATAGATTTTTTAATGCATCTTCAGAACTACTTGTACCAATAAAAGGTGTCATTTTTTGAGGAAGGTTATAATATGTTATTCAACATCAGAATACTACCACGGGCGAATAATTAGGATAGTAAATCTATTTTATTTATATTATGTCCGTGTAGGCTTGACATAGAACAGGCTACTTCTTCTCTTCTCGTGAGTGTCGTAACATGTGACTAAAGGATTTTAATGGTAGAGGGATGGGCAGCAGCGTCCTTCTCAAAGCATCACTAAACGCTTAACTGCGGTTATCAACCCGCCTGGCAAGCGTGGCAACTACTGGCATAACTCCTCTTGTGGAGAAGGCTTATGTTCAGCAGTGAACATGGCTGATAATGATGGTGATGCTGTTGTGTTTCACATGTTTCTAGGGTTATTGTAAGCTTTACCTTATTTAAACGTAATATAAATCTGCAGCATAAAAAATGTTTTTAGTAGGCCGAATTAGCATTGGGCTTTATTGATTTATTTATGGTAAATGAAATCAGCACAGGTCCGTAATTTATTAATGAACTTCAAAACGGAGGAGGTTTATTTTTTTAATGCATGATTGCAATATCTTTACTAATACTAACATAGCGCGTCCAATAGTCAAGTAAATTTGGAAGGTTCAAACATTTTGATGGTATTTCCAACTATATTTCTTATGAAATAATGCACTAGTTTGTTCTGGTAGAAAATTATCGTAAAAAATGCTAACAATTTAATTACAATCTGTATATTGTTAAGTTTATTATAGCTTATTTATTCTACTGTATTTTACTACCTTTTAATTGTAGTAATTCTGGTTATTGTCAGTGTCCGTCTTCATTTTTGGATATGGATTTTGGATCTGATTTCCATGAAGACCGGTGGATTTTTAGAGATATGAAACATCAAGAATATTCAGATGCACCATGTGCAAAGGTGCGGCCTTCCACAAGGGATATCATTAGGAGATTTTACGCCATAATCCCATAGTAAGTGAGAATGTTGTGGCCTTATAATACGCTTTTGGATAATACTAAAAATTGTGTATCAATTTGTAGTTTAACACAGGCGATGGAAAACACTGTTAACAAATCAATAAAGGGTCATGTGACGTTGAAATCTTATATGTTCAGCAAGAGCACATATTGTGTATTACTTTTTTCCACTATATAATTGATAAATATCTCGAACTACTCCATTAGGGATGAGAATTTTTTATATTCCAGAGGGAGATTTTGTACAAAAGTCGATTGCTTGGGTACCTCTGTCCTATTCGTGTTTCTACCGTGAAGCAGTTGTGTTTGCATGGCTGTGTTTCGGTTTGAAGGGTGGGATATGGCGTGAATTTACAGGGTACAGAGGAATAACACCTAAATCCTCAGGAATGGCAACGCATGGGGGGTATCATTGGCGAAACAGTACGTGTGTGTACTGTTATGTCCATGGTACTGCTCATGTCTATAGGCAACGGTTACCACTTTCCATCAGGTGGACCGTCAGCTTGCCATTTTAAGTCAAGTTCCTCGTAATTAGTGCTAGTATTCTATGCAGGGTCTACGTGAATCATTCGATGCCACTTGTACCGGTAGAGTTTAATTTTTTTAGTTAATTATACTGCCATGATATTATAACTTTTAGCACTTAGAAGTTACGAAAACTATAATACAGTATTATATTTGTCTGACTGGTCGTTTGCAGGTATGCGTGCATTTGTAATGATTGAAGCCGTGGTTTTTGTCTTCGAACCAAAATCTAGCTAGTTGCAAAACTAAAATCTACAATGATTTTGTCTTTGCCTTTGAGATTTACTAACACACTAGTAGCCCAGCTACGCATATATCCAATCGCACAAGTATTCCGAAGAAAAGAGACAGACATTGTCTCTTTCTCTTAAACCTCACCTTTGACTATTTCGTAGTAGGAGCCTCATTCTTGTCAGTTTTTATAATATTAAATATACTCTAATATCAGTTCTTATGTATTCTCTAGTTTCGATAAAGATCACTTAAATACCGCGTTCCTGCACAAGTTCAGAGCAACTGTATATGGCATGTCAGAGGGTGAAGATGCTTTGGACCGAGAAGCAGCATTTTACGCTGCTGTATTGGTTCCGGTCGTCTTCTTACAGCAATACAGAGACATGTGGTGTCTGCTGGAGAGGGTAAATTTAATTTCTAACAAGTTTCTTATTCTTTTTTTATTGCTATGAGAACTTTAAGTAGGAGAAAGTGTAGGTGATGTTTATTATTTTTTTTTTATTTTGGAGTTTGGTATATTGCTATAACTAGTTTTTTTTAATGGTATGAAAATGAAATTCACTTTTGCTAGGGACCAGTGAGGGATGATAAATGAAGTCAGGTTAGTGGTTTGTCTCGTTGAGAGATGTTTTCAAAAGATAGATAGAATTGCTAGCAATGGGGCCAGATTGGAAAATTACAATTCCTCTCCAGAAGGGATTTTTAGTAATAGGGATGTTAATTCGCATTCCTAGCAACGTATCCTAGTGTTACCGAAAAAGACGAATACGCATACAGTAGAGACATTGGCAGTTATAAGAGCATAGGGTCCAGTTGGAAAACTATATTAAATGTTATATAGATACCTCAGTGTCACATTTGAAGTAATGGAAAAAATCTTTCTTTATCATAGATTGTCGATTCTTCAATTTCTGAATTTAGTTAAATCTGCTGACCCTCACATTTACAGGTATCTTCCAAACCCAAAAGAGACAAAAAAGAAAATTCAGGCCATGTCGAATATTCTCATACACATATTATTTTCTGTGTTTGATATTTGTATGAGCACAAATAAAATTCTACAAATCTATTTGACTGTTCCGCAGTTTCACAGAGCAATGCGCCTGTATCAAATTTCACACCCAACCGAGAAGAGGTCAGCTTTGAAATTGTTGCAGAATATCCGGCCCGTTAATCTTAAAGTAAATGTTACAAATAATTTTATATTTCTTTGTACAAAGATCAGTGGCTTTATATAAAATATTGGATACTTTCTTACTTGTGTCACTGCTACTAAACTGCTGTATTTCGGTTGAAGGGTGAGATATGGCAGTGTTATTATTAGGTATTAAAACATATTCTTTTGGTATGGTATCATCGGGTCGTGAGTCCATGAAAGAGTGGTGATGCCAATGATATTGTTTATGTATATATGATAATTTGGCCGCCATGTTCCATCAAGTACGCTGTCAGTTTATTATGGCCATTTCTAGTCGTCGTTATACTAGTAAAAATACAAGTATATTGCTTTATACAACTTTTTTTTTATTAGGAAATAAAAAATAAACATACAGCCTAAACGGTGAAAAGTAATTATAGTTGTTGACTATCGTAGGTAGTTTTGTATTAAAATTTTCCAGAATACTTCTTTTATAGGTTGAAACTAAGGTAGAAACTTAAATAAAATATGCTAAATAAGCGAAGCGCTGTCAAAGGTCCAAAATATCGACAATGTATATGGTGAATGGAATTGACAATTCTAATTTTAAAAGTTATTTTTATAATAGTCATAGACAATATCAATGACAATTCAAAAGAAGTTCCTAACGTCGTTTATGACTAGCTTGACTACATTGTATGTTTAAGAAAAATTCTTAATTTGTGACAATCTCGCTTTCTATCTCAGGTTAGATCGTTTGTCCTTGAGCTACCGGGCATCACTGCCGTCACACGTACCACATCAGCTGATTTTGATGACGAAGAAATCAACGATATAAAAGATATTCGATATCTCAAAGAGTTAATTAAAAATCTCGGTTGAGTTTAAAATGTTTTATTTCATAAATAATAATAAATACAATTGGATATATATACACAGCGCCATCTAGTTGTAAAGTAAACAAAACTTGTACTATGAGTACTAGCCAACTGATAGAAATATTTTTTTTTAAATACATTTATGTAATATATAGAAAATACCCAGATATATACAAACTGTCATAATCATGAATACATATAATTGTGTTGTGCGGGAATTGAACTCGTTACCATTGGAAGATAAGGCGGTGTATTAAACCGCTACACCAGCACAGTCATCATACCACTGATAAGGTATTATGCACTACATTATTAGGCTACTGGCCTATACTTTGGTCAACGCATTTCCATTGCTATTCAGCGTGGAAATGCAGCAAGTATCCTAGGCACCCTACCAGCTGGCAGTGATCTCAAAGAAATTTTTTATCTCTAAATATATACATTTTTTTTTATTTTTTAATTACTTATCTCTAATTATATATCTAGATTAACTATCTCTTCTATTTAGATATTTATAGTTTATGGTTATTATGCAATTAGTTCATATTAGTCCTTACAATAAAGATTTTAGAGGATCTATATTAGAGCTATTATATTATTATATAGTACATTATACTGTATGTCAGTAAGTTTTAAATTAGTAGTTTAGTCATCATACAAAATGACGATTTAAAAGACGTCGTAAAGTAGTCTACTTGAATAAATTGATGATTCGAATTTGAAGTATTTATATCATCATCATATCAGTGGTTAACTGTCCACTACTGTACATAGGCCTCCCCATAAGGGGGGTTTTGGCAATAGTTGCCACGCTTGGCAGGCAGGTTGGCAACCACAGGCTTTAGGTAAGGTTTTAAGAAGGACGTTGCTGTCCATCTTTCGACCATTAAGTTTCCTTAGTCGCTTCATGCGACATCCACGGAAAAGAAAGGGGTGGCCTATTCTATATAAGGACCACACAAGTATTTACATATTTATTTATATTATTGAAAGTTCAATTTTTCACTACGTCATATCTGAAATATGTAAATTTAATCGTACAGTGTCGAGAAAGTTTCTAATATTTATAACGGAATGATTATCACTTGGTAAGGCTCAGAGAAAAAGTAAGTTTTTTATACAACTTAGAATGACAAACAAACTGACGGCCCACCTAATGGAAAGTGGTAACCATCGCCTATAGACATGAGCAGTACCATGGACATAACAGAGTATACTGTTTCCCCATGCGTTGCCATTCCTGAGGACTTAGGTATTATTCGTCTGTACCCTATATCTTCGGTGATAACCTTATTATTTTTCTTAATAAAACAATAATAATATAATATTTAGTACAGAGGTAAAAAAATTTATATCTTTAGTGCACACTGAAAAATATGTTAACAGAAAGAAAACAAGAAGTTTGTTACTAGTATATTATATATAAAATAAAAATATAAAAGAAGATTAATTTACAAAAAATGATTTTGATTTGTTAAGTCAAATTATAGGAAATGAGTTTTCTAAATTGACTTGAGTTGGTATATTTTGGATTGTGCTCTTCCAAATTCGTTACTTGGTTACTTAACATAGGATATTTTAGCTTAAGAATTAGACAATGTACTTAAATATTATTAAAGCATTTCAATTACAAAGAAACTTAGAACGTTATTGCTTATTGTTGTTTTTATTGTAAATATATAATATGTATACAGTCCGCTGACTGCGCTTCAGATCAGATCGAATCTCAGCTTAAATCTTCGAATTTTTCAAGTTCATGTATAAATATTTTCAAAATAATTGCCACTCGTTTCGTGCTTCGGAGGGCACGTAAAGCAATTGTTTGATAAGTCATGTCAGATGTTTTCGTATATAACGAAGGTGGACTGGAAACTCTTGTCACCAGAGGGCATCATAATATAATAATTTAATATTGTTTTAAGAAGAATAATAGTAGTAGTATTTGTACAGGAGACATGAAACAGATTTATTATTTACATTTATTATACAAACTATATAGATACTTTCTCTTTTCGCGTTCTCAAGGTCGACAAGAAGAAATGTCTTCCAAGGGGAAAGAAATATCTTTTTGACTCTGTACCATGTTATTTTCTTTATAACCTGATATCTGCATTAATTGTGAATGTAGAATAAAGCTTATATAAATAAACGAACAGTTTTAATGTCTATAAAACCTATCAAGGCGATAAGAAATTTCTACAGTCAACTTTCGAAAAGCCGAAAGGAATATATAAGAAGAGTAGTTGAAGGTGAAAATTGTAATATTTGCATAGTAATATTATAATATATTGGAATATTGACCATATGTTGTGTGTATATTACTAAAATATATGACAATTATTAGAAGAATTAACATAAACATAATTATTACTAAAAATAGAAGGCAAAGTAAAAAGTTATCGCATGGCTTGTCGAAATCGTTACTTCTAATGTAACAATCAGAGAGATCTGATATATAGGCATGTGGCATTTCAATTACGGACGATTTTGTACCATCAATATCTATTATGCCTCTAAATGTATAATATCTCTTTGTGATTGTTGCACGCACCACTGTGGAGATCGGAAAGGTAATGTTCATGTTTCTGCAAAGATAAAATCATATATTTAATCTACTGTAGTTTAGTTTAACAAGAAACTTCATTCTCGTGATTAGAATAGATTCATTGATCAGGATAAATAGTATATAGTCATCCCTAATAGTTCATACTATATACCAAATTTTATGATTGGTTGAGCCGTTAATAGTTCATATTATATATATATATATATATATATATATATATATATATATATATATATATATATATATATATATATATATATATATATATATATATTTGATTATTGATTTTTATTAAAAATATAGATATCAATGTTATATTGTTTGCTAGAATTTTGATCCATTTTGGACATTATAATACAATATAATAAAAAATCAACATATATTTTAAAAATAATATAATAAATATAATATATATTATAAATGGGGATCTATATAATCTAAGGATTAAAATTTGAAACGCAAAGACTGTTTTTCCCAATTCATGTGGGCCAAGCTATTGGATGCCTGTAATCTTTAGTTAACTAATAATATAAATCTGATAGTGAGTTTTTTCGTTATCTTTTGGTATCCTGACGACTTACTAATTATAGAGAAAGAAAAACAGACTATTTTCTATTTTAGCCAATATTTCTGGTCGCCTGAACGATGTCATTGTAGAAACCGGTATTAAATTTATTAATACCAATATATTTTTTAATTCAAAGTGGATGCATGTTCTAATTCAGGTGTTTTTCAGAATGTGCATCAGTCATCTCACAATTAGGTAACGTAACATATTAGTTAAGGTAAGGTATACATACCCATAGAAGAGAGCCTTCTTGATATATTCAATGCCTGTGTAAATAAGATCATTGAAAGCATTGGTACCAGATGGTGATAATTTTATGTAATATATATCACCTATGTTGTCGGGTATGTGCTGAAAAGAAGTAAAATAGGGTCCGTAATATTTACTATAATAATATTACGTTCAGTGACATTTATTTGTAATAATTATATAATGCAATGAAATAAAATACGAGTTTTTTATATTGGCAACTTTTGTTTGAAAAAAGTAACGGCTGAGTTTTTTGGCAGTTCTCTTCAGCTGCATTTATATTTCGAACTGGGAGACAGAATCATTAAAAATTACTATTAAAAATGTTTACAATTAAATTTGCTTAAATAAATTTTTTTTTAAACAAAATAATGTTATGTTTTTGATTGAGTAATAGATAGAATAATAAGCTCATTCCATTATATGGTATACGTTAGAAGGAGAGATTAGGAACCATATTCGCGATCATATTTTGCATCTAATTCCTTAATGAGCGTTTTAGAACACCTACATAACATATACTCACCTTCGTATCATCATTATAGGGATGTCTAAATATCCACTGAACTCCTCTTATACCTAAGTCTCTTGCAGCTCTTGTCAATTTTTCTAAATTATATATCTCCACATTAGCTATTATCACCCATACTTTATATTCTTGATTTCTTAATTCATTTAGACCCTAAAAACATTAGATTTCAGTTAAATCGAGTGAATTGTATATATTTTATATTTTGTTATCATTAAAATGAGTTTCAAATAGCACATAAATAGAAATATATCATTATTTGTGTAGGTAAAATATAAGTTCATGCGTAATGTTATTCACTGACAGTTGACTTAACAAACTATAATTAAATTGGATAATTTTACTCGTATCTAATATTATTAATTTAGAATTAAATTCATTATTCGAAATTTAAAAAATTTCAATGGTATTTTTTTATATTTTAATCTTCTATGTATCAGTTATAAAGAAATAATAATAACATTTCAAATCTATATTTTCGCTTGTTCAAATATACTACTTACATTATAATATTATAGTTGCAAATTCAATATCCTACTAATATAATAAAATTATAACTAAAGGACGTTTGTACATGCAAAATATTTAAGAAGAATTAATATGAGGCCAAATAAATGCCAAAACAATATTTTTAGAAATTTTGCCTGCCTGTTTATCTGTATGTTTGTTCCGATATTACTCAAAAACTACTGCAGAAAATTGAATACGGTTTTCATAGTTGTATTCCGAAAGGTCTAATTTAAAATTTGTTGTATGTTTTATTTTGATGTGTCATCTAGCAGTGGTCTATTTAATTGATTTTCCTGCTTCTGAAATCCACACCTATGAAGTAGCAGACAAATAAATACTTACGAGCATTAATAAATAAATACTTACTTTATCAAAAGTACATGTTTTTAAATTTGGATCGTAATTAGAGCTGTTAATGTTATAAAGGCATTGCTTTACGGTATAAACAAAGTCATTTTCATGCAAAAGAGATATTAATTCTTTTTCAAATTCATCACTAAAATATGAATCATCAGATATAACTGCAATGCGTTGCCACTTCATTTTTTGTAGAAATTTGACAAGTGCATACTTGAGTGGTTGCCATGGCAACAAAGTGTATGAATTTGGATAATCTTCTTCATGCACGGGCAGCAGATGATTACTATCGTAGAAAATAAACGGAATCTGCGGATTAAAGCTGCTGAATTGTAAAGGTTTTGGTGCTAATACAGCTGAAGTATTATCTGGTATTTTCATTTCTGTATTGCATTCAGAAAATATGAGCTCTACAGGATTAGAATTTGCCTTCAATTTCTCTTTATAATCAGAATCGATGGCATTTTCATTTTGTGAACAAATTAAAATAATGTGAGTCGCATATTTCTTTGTTGGCATAGTATGTTCTTTATTATTATTTATATTAAAATTGCTCAAAATTTCAATGATTTCAATATCCTTTATGTCTAGTATATTTTTGCTGAATGCGGCCATTTCCTGTAATTCCACATCTTTTACTTCACACGATGTCTCTTTATTAGTTTTTGCAATATCTATAACGCAAAAAGGGTCTGTTATCGTAGCTCCATTTTCATGAAAAATTAAATCTGACGGTAACGTACTTTCCTTGTAAAAGTCGACTATTTTTAAGTTTACAACATAGTCATTCCTGTAATTTGAAATTTAGTTTGATTGTAATTTTATTAATAAATTTAGAAGTTTTAGTTGATGAATTTGTCACAGTAGAGACAATTCTTTTGTGTATTAGTTAATTCATCTGAAATGGCATTCAGAATTAGGCAGTAGATTCATAAAATTAAAAATGCTTATATTTGTACTTAAGTGCACTTGAAAGGATTATTTCCAGCAGTTGACAAATTGTACAGTTGGTATAATAACGCTTAAATAAATACATACTTTTATGTGTTTATGTTTTGTTTGAATTAATTTATTATCTATAGGTACTTATAAAATAGTTTGTCCTGACTAACTACCAAGCCATAGCCAAAATATGTATTGTACACATATCAACATCGTTTAGGGATATTTTAATATCCCTAGACGATGTTGATATGTGTTTTATATGTATGTTTTTAGATTATATAGATGAGAGCATCGTGCCTCAAAAACTGGCCAACTTTTTGTTACTTAATTGTCAAATTGGCTGAAACGTTTGTTTTATCAGTATTCTATATATTTACGCATAAAATGTATCTTGATGTATTATTTAATAAATAAAATGAGTATTTACGCATTAAAAAGATGATTTATAAGACAAAATAAATATGAAAAAAAATTGTATGAAAAAGTTGACCCATTCTTCTCGAAGCATTTCTATAGAGAAACAATATCTATATAATCTAAGAACATGTCATATGATTTAAATTTGTTATTTATGAATTAATAATAGTCAAAATACAATTTAAATATTATATAATTACATTAGTAATATCTGGCTTTTATTATTTTTAAATTTATCAAAAAGTAGATTCAAAGTATTTTATTGTAAAGTCTTAAATCCTAAGTATTAAAGGTCTAAGAGTTAAAATTTCTTACGTACCTATTTGTGTTCACTATTGATATAGTTTCAGTCAGGGTTGCATTATTAATATGCAATCTACGAACGTCAATGTCATAATCATTTCTGTTTATCATATTCTCTAGTTCATCATTCATTTTTTTATGTCCATCTTCGTTTGATACCAGAAGTAACAAAACAGATTTTTGATCACCTAAAAGTGATGATGGATTAGTCTGAATAATCCAGAGGGAGACTTTGTACAAAAGTCGACTGCTTGGGTACCTCTGTCTCATTCGTGTTTCAATCGTGAAGCAGTTGTGTTTGCATGGCTGTATTTTGGATTGAATTTACAGTGTACAGAGGGATAACACCTTGGGTCCTCAGGAATGGCATGGCTTGGGGAGTATTATGGGTGAAATAGTATACTACGTTATGCCCATGGTACTGCTCATGTCTATAGGCGACGGTTACCACTTTCCATCAGGTGGGCCGTCAGCTTGTTTGCCATTTTAAATTGTATAAAAAAAATAATCATTATTTAGATTATTCATGTCCCATTACGAAAAACTTAACGCAATGTACTCCTACAGAGGTCACTTGGCATTTAATATTATATACATACATTGAAGGGTATATATATATATATATATATATATATATATATATATATATATATATATATATATATATATATATATATATATATATATAACTACCTATAACTTAAAAAGATAATTAATATAATATAATAATAAGTTGTTGCTTGTAGAGTATCTTGCATGGGTACTGAATATTTAATATTATATAATTATATGGATGTCAGCAATACAAATTTAAACCCACCTGACAAAAAGTCCGCATCATAATAACATACAACGACTAGTAATACTGATATTACCAAACAGAAAACTAATGTCGTCATCTTGTATTCACATAATAAATTAGTTTTTATTTTTATTAAATAATCATTTGAAACTGTTGCACAACATAAACTGTTTCATACTAACAAGATATTTAATATATTTCCTATATCAGTAGAGGAAAATTATCCTAAAATTACATACAGTGGTTGACAACATTTTACTTTATTAAGAATAAAAATTGTTTTTTACATTAGTAATATTATTTTTGTTAGCTCTGGTACTAATTACTACTTGTGGAAATGATGTATGTATCGTACACTGGAAAAAAGTGGGTCCTGAGAGATGATCGACCTGAAAATGCCCCTTCTGCAAACAGTGCTGCAAAAAAAATATTTAGCGAGCAAGAAACAACTTAAATTAAGTAGATAATTTGATATTGATCTTTTTCACAGCTAAATATTCCCAAGAGATTACAGTATGAGGTTCTTCAAAAGGGGGGTAAAGAGGTTTCTTCAGGGTCGGCAATGCACGCGTAATACCTCTGGTATTGCAGGTGTTTATAGGCTGCGGTGACCACTTATCATCAGGTGGGCCGTATGCTTGTTTGCCACCTCAGTGGTATAAAAAAAATATACATAGCGAGGAATATACTGAGTAGACAATGTTTTGATTAGGAAATATCAGTTTTACCATATATTGAGCACATTCGTTTTGTAAAGTTTGGTAGTATATTGTGATACGCACACGTATGTTGCCTCACCCGTGTGTGTGTGCCTCGGATAAGTAAACCTGTACTGTTTGGGTAATTTGTTAAATTTTGTATATTGTATCTATTGGTGAAAACCTATATGCGGTTTCATTGTTGTTATCTTGTGGTTGTTTTTATTTAAATAAACCTTGGTTTTCCTGTTACAAATGAATACATAGCATCTAGATTATACATATTTAGAGGGAGCATCGTGGCTAAAGTGTACCTAATAATAATGTGGCGTCTGTAAATAAATATTGTAAATATTCATCTCATAACCACTTGTCAACATCATTACTTTCTTTTCCATCAAGTAGGTTAATTTAATTGTACATAGATATTTCACCTCTTTCTAGCTTTCGCACTGGACATACAGACATGACAGCGACGTTTACTTCTCACATTCATTTCTGCTGTCATTCTCTCATTATATGAAAATCAATAATATAATCAAGTTAGTTGTTATTTATTTCCTCCAAACAACTACAATAAAACAAAACATAGCAGGCCATTTTTAATGTTGCAATCGATGATACGAGTATTATAATAAAACAGAAAAAACGTTGGTTACAATTAAAAATAACAATATTTTGCAATCCACTGTTCATGCACACACTGACTAATCGCTCATGTTATCACATTACAAACACGTAAGACAAAAATGAAATACTTGAAGAAGCGTTTGCAGAGACAGACATATTCTGTTCAGTTGTTAATAGTTAATTTATATATGTTGCAGTAAAAATTTTTAACCAGTCAAAAGTACTATTGACTAGCAAAATCAGTTAAAAGTACTTTTGACCGTATGCTTTTGTCAATAATACTTTTGACTAAAATAACAGTTAAAAGTACCTATCCTAACCTAACCGGGGGGAAAGGGATTGTTAGCAATGGAGTTTGACAGCCCCATTGCTAGCAATATGCCTTATTAGGTCGACCTCCACGTGGTTCCCCCTGGAGACCATCGTGAACAATTCTTGTTGAATTCGTCACGGTGGGATAACTGACCTGTTTCATCCTCACCTATCATCCTTCACTGGTACTTCGCCGGTGTATACCGATAGCGCGGGTGGGGTTACCATTCCATTATCACCCATTAAAAAAAACCTAACCTAACCGCAAATTTGCAGTCAAAACCACATTTGACCAACCTGTTAAGTCTGCTATCTCTTTTGACTGATTTTGCTAGTCAATAGTACTTTTAATTGGTTAAGAGACTGCAACATATATAATATGGGCTGAAAGGGAATGTTAGTAATGGAGACTAAAAATCCCATTGCTAGCAATATACCCAACCAGGTCGACCTCCTCGTGGTTCCCCCTGGAAACTATCATGGTTAATTCCTGATGAATTCATCATGATGGGCTAACTGTCCTGTTTTCATTCTCATCTATCACCCTTCACTGGTGCTCCGCCAGCGTATCCCGTTAGCGCAGGCGGGGTTTACCATTCCATTTTCATCTACCAAAAAAAACATATATAATATATAGTTAAGCTATAATATTATTATGTAACCAACATATAACATATTAAAGAATTAGTTTTAAATTAATAAAAACTATACAATGTTAAAAAATTATATATACAAGTTTTTCATTTAAATTATATATTTCACGTAAGTATGTATATATTAATGTCAACAATTGTATCATCATTATATTGTATCAGAATGTAAATTGTTAATTTTCCTGTAGTGAATAATTGTAATTTATTGTTCAATTTGAACCTATAGTTATTGAATGCTGATGAACTAAAATTATTGTTATTTTTTATTATAAATATCCATAAAATATTATTATTATATTAATATTGTTATGTCCTTATATTACATAATAGAAGACTATTGTAATATATGTTATTATAAGGCGGCGGGTAGTTTAAAGTTTGGTTTGTATAGACAGCCAGTCGCAATATACATACGCTTATGTAATAGGCAAAAGGCTGGCAGCGCAATGCATGTTTTACACTTACCATCAGGTGAGCCGCATGCTCGTTTGCCCCCTGTGTTGTAAAAAAATACGCCACGTTTTACCTCCCTCTCCACATAAAACACTACAGCATTCATGCGGCGCTATTCTTGAGGTGTTTTTTTTTAATATGTGATAATGGAATGGTAACCCCGCCTGCGCTATTGGTATACGCTGTGAGGGATGATAAGTAACGATGAAAGCAGGTCAGTTAGCCCATCGTGATGAATTCCAATTCTAGAATTAACCACAATAGTTTCCAGGGGGAACCGCGTGGAGGTCGACCTGGTACGGTGTATTGCTAGCAATGGGTCAATTAGACCCCATTACTAACAATCCTTTTCCCCTCGTAGGTAATGGTTAGGACTCTATATGCTGCGCAATGTAATCGTTAGTTCAGGATGAACATTTATTGTCTCCTAAGGAGTCTGTTAGAATTGCTTGGGATTAGCGCCATTCCCCTTTTCCGGACTATAGTATAGCCCTGATAGGAGAGGTCACGAGAAGAAGAATGGCAGCGCTAGAGGAGTACAATGGATGTCTCAGTATATTTTATGATGTTCAGAATTCATATCTATAGATAACAGATATCTTATATATAAAATTCTCGTGTCACGGTGTTTGTTACCAAACTCCTCCGAAATGGCTTTACCGATTTTTATGAAATTTTGTGTGCATATTGGGTAGGTCTGAGAATCGGCCAACATCTATTTTTCATACCCCTCAATGATAAGGGTGACCCTCCCAAAAATTTATTTTTTTTATGTTTTGACAAAATTTTCCATTTTTATTTTATTATGATTTAGCATTGAAAAATACATACAACCTCAAATTTTCACCGTTTTACGATCAACCCCTGTATTTTAATCGCGATTTTTATATTTCGCAATAAGTGGTAAAACAAAGTTTACGGGGTCAGCTAGTTATTATATAAAAGTTTCATAAAAATAATCTCATTACTTTTAAAGAATTTGTATTGCATTAGTGGCGTTTTATATTTTTCATTGGAGTTCCTAGTGTGAGGTTTACATAGAGTTACATTATTATTAGCGTGGGCTGATGATGATGTCCAGTTGATGTAGATTGCAATTGTACAGTCAATGGACAGTAATGCTGTCCAATGTTGGACATAGGCCTCTCCTAAAGTGCGTCAATATGTACGATCCTGTGCTTTACAAATTTAATCGTTCCCTGTAATTTTGTTCAAATTGTCGCTCCATTTACTAGAAGGCGGCTCCCTTTTACATAAACAACCATCGGGTCTGCGATAATGTGGCCAACTCATTTCCATTTCAGTCTATTGACTATATCAACGAATTTAACTCTTTGCTGGAGTCCGATCTCTCAGAGAAACTTCAAGCATTGGTCTCTTCATGGGTCGCTAAGCGACTTTTAATTTTTTTTTTATACAACTTAGAATGGCAAACAAGCTGACGGCCCACCTGACGGAAAGTGGTAACCGTCGCCTATAGACATGAGCAGTACTATGGACATAACAGAGTATACTGTTTTGCCCATGATACTCCCTATGCGTTGCCATTCCTGAGAACTCAGGTGTTATTCCTCCGTACCCAGTAAATTCACGCCATATCCCACACTTCAAACCGAAACACAGCCATGCAAACATAACTGCTTCACGGTAGAAACATGAGTGGGACAGAGGTACCCAAGCAATCAACTTTTGTACAAAGTCTCCCTCTGGTAGTCTCCAGTTTATGGACTAGTTTTACCGTCAGGGTTATGTCTCAGCAGTGTACGTCAATGTCGATAATTTGTATACAAAACCTACCCCTCTAACGGATCGTTTCGGAAACTCAGACTTCCATACGAACTTATCTATGTGAACGTTAATAAACATAAGTTTTTGTAGAATTTACATTAGGAACTCAGGTGAGCTATTTAGCTCAGGTAGCTACGATTACCACTTTTAGGAGCATAAAAATATACCTATGTTAGTACGCAGACACGGCTACAAATTTAATAACAGCATAGGTATTAGTTATTTACCATAGCATACCATATCTTTTTTTTTTAATTGGTGATAATGGAATAGTAACCCCACCCGCGCTATTGGTGTACACTGGCGGGGCCCCAGTGAAAGATGATAAGTGATGATGAAGCAGGTCAGTTAGCCCATCGTGACGAATTCAACAAGAATTGTTCATGATGATTTCCGATGATACCATATTAACTCTCCACTGCTGAACATAAGCCTCCTCCTATTGTGTGGGTTTGTCGTAGTTACCACGTTTGTCAAATGGGTTGACAGAGCAGGGGGAGGGGGATTGTTAATAATGCAAACTACCAGTCGCATTGCTAGTAATGTACTCATTCAGGTCGACCTCCACATGGTCTCTCCTGGAAACCGTCGTGTCGCATTGCTAGTAATGTACTCATTCAGGTCGACCTCCACATGGTCTCTCCTGGAAACCGTTGTGTTGCATTGCTAGTAATGTACTTAGTCAGGTTGACCTCCACGTGGTCCCTCCTAGAAACCATCGCGCTGAATTCTAAGTTTATTTATAAATACGGGCTAACTGACCTGCATTTTCATCTTTATCTGCCATTTCTCACTGCTGCTCCGCCAGCGTATACCGTTAGCATCCCTCAAGTATAAGGTCATTCGTTAACGACTAGAATTCGTTGCCTTATTTTTAAAAATAAGACCTAGACGTGTACATATTTAGCGATAAATAAAATATACTTTAATAACGTTAAAATAAAACATATAATTACATTTTTACAACTGGATACATCTTTATTAAATTAAATAAGTATCGAATACCGTGAAATGAAAAGCCAGGTCGTGTTTGTTTAGTATAAAAACGTATATTCACATAATAAAAAAATAGTACCGTTTATTTCTGTCAATGTGGAACGGCAAGGCAAATATAAACTGTATACGTAATATTGTTGAAATATTTCATGGCCAATTTATTATTGCCTTGTCTAATAATGAGTAAATAATACTATATATATAAATAATGTGTACGAATACATCTATATTGAGTAAAGACGATTCGCGTTTTCTATTTAGGTTGTTATATGGTATATAAATATACACGATATATTATGTATAGTTAGTGAGTTCAACTTGTTTACAGTTGCACGTTGGCGGCTGCGTTGGCGAGGGCTTGTCCAGCTTGAGCGGCTGCTCCGGCTACGTTGCCGCCAGCTGCGACGGCAGACAAGACCTGAGAACACATATCAAATATTATAAAAGATGTCTCTAGAAGGTATGGTACCTGAGCCTAGTAAAGGTACGCTATGTATAAAGAAAAAATTTTATTGTAAAAGAAACAATTTGATTTTCGTTTTGGCACAAATTATATCAGTAATGTATAATACTTGTAAGATCTATCTCATTTGTGTTTCAACCGTGAAGCAGTTGTGTTTGCATGGCTGTGTGTCGGTTTGAAGGGTGGCATATGGCAGTGAATTCACACGGTACAGAGAACTAACGCCTGAGTCTTCAGGAATGGCAATGCATGGGAGGTATCATGGACGAAACACTATACTCTGTTATGTCCATGGTGCTGCTCAAGTCTATATGCGACAATTACCACTTTGGGCCGTCAGATTGTTTGTAATTGTAAGTAGCATAAAAAAACAGTCTTAGATGGTAGAATATTAATTTTATTTTGATTAATGATGTTTGGAGTAACGATTAAGTACAATCGCTACTAGTTAAATCTTTGTCTACTATGTTAATCAGGATCCTCAATTAATCCTGAGTCTCCTGCATCAATCGATTACGAACATCATAGTTTTCAAGAATAATAAAGCAATGCATGAGGGGTACCATGAGAATCTATAGTTAGCTGTTACCGCTTTCTGTTAGGTAGACCATTAGCTTGTTTGCCATTCTTAGCTTCAAGAAAAAATAATATCATATCCACTTCTGAACACAGGTCTGCCCCATGAAGGGGGTAACAAACAATATAATGTAGTATATTAGTAAGTACTTACATTGACTAGGGATGGCAGGATGATCTGTGCAGCTTGTGTTTGTGCTACGACAGCACCGGCTGTGATAGCTGCACCTACGTTGTTACTGCGGCTATTGAAGGCATTGTACAGACGTCTGGCTGCACAGTACTCTTCATTGATCAAGCTGCAACGAAATAAATGCATTCTATATAATACTATTACATTTTTTGATTTAGCATTTTTTAAATCTGGAATAGGGACATTATTTAAGCATATCTAGGACTGTAGAATACCTGTTCGAAGACGAACATACTGAATAAAGAATTTTAAAGACTGGTTCGGAATAGGTACTAGATCCCTTTTCTAGGTTTTTACTTAAACTTTGTAAACATTACATTCTTTTTTTGGGTAGTCGCGTAAAAAATATTTTGACATTGTCACACATTTTCACTCACCCAATCTGGTATGGGTTGGCGTTGTCGAGAACTGCATCCCAAGCTGCCTCGAATTGGTAGCTTCTGCCACCACCAGCGCAGTTGCCGACGGGGCCGCTCTGTTAAAACAAATAAAAATGTTCATAATTACAGATTAATTAAAAAAATAAATAAATATGCTCACGGCTATAATCCTAAATGTAGTAGTCAGAGGTATTTGTTGACTTTTTTCGCCGTGGTATAGTAATCAGATCCATTGTGGCATCAAGCAAGCTTTCTGTCATTACTCAAAAGTACAGGTAACTAAATAGAAATATTTAGTAATCTGATAGAGTTGTAGGTATATCTATCATTTTAATAACTAAGCAGCATATGAGACGGTGCGAGGACCTCAATCGCGAAGGAGAGCCTCATCGACGATCCATTGTCATTGTGAAAACCACGACCACTCTGTCAAGAGTGTACGACTGAAGAGAGATATGAGACGAGTAATGAAGGAATATGAAGCAAGAAATGTATGTAAGGATTGCCTTTGACACTCGCTTCTCTCAGTTTCGAAGACATGACGTGAAGTTAGATAGATACCTAAATAGAATAAATAAAGATCAATATTGGAGGAGATTAGCGATAACACCACCTTTACTACTTTACGAGTGTAATATATCTATATTTTTTTTTGTATTACTCTTAATTAGTGCAATAAAGAATTAATAAGTAAATACATTTATATACAAACAAATGTGTCAAGAAATCTCGGAACGCTATTTTATGGCGGCAGTTATCGTTTGCCATCTATGGTAAAAAATACTACAATATTATTACTAAATATTTAATTATTATAAATAAATGTAAATATATGTAAATAAATGAATAAATATTGATATTTGTAATATCCAAAATTATCATTCTTAATTATTATATGTGAAATAATTAATATAAATATGAGTCGAAGAATACTCGGCACGGTTTAAGACATTGTTTAGGGCAATTTGGAAACGTCCGATGATAAATGGGTTTGCAACGGAATGATTTATGTGGGCAGTGCGTGGTCTTCTATTGCGAGGGCCTTCGAAAAGGCTTTGATATTAATATTTCATGAAGGGAACTTACACGCTAATAGTTAGTTTTTGGCTAGCAAAAGGTATGTTTTAGATATAATATACCTATATGGTTATAAGATAAGAAGAATGAAAATTATTTATATATTATTTCTGCAATCACTTTGTCAAAGACCGTATTGATGTAAGGAAAAGTTTTATGTACCTAATGTATACAATTTAATATGATATATGATAGTAAAAAATAGAATGATATTTAATGATTTCGTAATGTCATCAACATTACGAAATCATAAAATAACAATAACATTTATTTTTACTAACTACATTTAAAATTATTAAAAATTAAAAAAAGGTTTGATCTTATTATTTAATATTAAATCATATATGTGGCTAATAAAACCCCCTTTTTATTGGATTGAATCCATAGTTCAATGTAATTGCAATATAAAAAGAAAAAAAAATTTTTAATAATATCTATTGTGGGGAACGCAATCCTATAACACATACTCATATACACATAATCATCGTTAAACGCATTTTTTTTTACATATTTATTTATCAATAAATCAGATTATGATGGAGAAACACACATACAAACTATCATTCCATTGGACGTGCATTCAATCCAGTATCAAAGATTCCAATGATTTGACTTCATCCTCATCTAATACAGTCAGTGCAAATCAATAATGTAGGAATCGTTACCATTCCATTTTTATTTAGAAAAGCTCCTAATTTCCTACCTTACCATATGCCATAATCGTCATTAACCATCCACTTCTGAGCATAGGCCTCCCTCATAAGGGGGTCAGTAGCTATTTTGCCAGTGGTTGTCAAACTTGGCAGACGGATTAACGACCGCAGTCAGGTTTTAGTGATGTTTTATTTATAAGAGGGACACTGCTACCCATCCCTTGACAACTAAATTCCCTTAGTCGCCTCTTACGATACGCATGGAAATGGAAAGTGAAATTTCTCACCTTTATTACATTTAGAAATACAGCAGTAATTGTAATTATAAATAATGTATGTAAAGTTGAATTTATCTCTAAAAGAGATTTCTTTCTAACTACCTAAAGCAGTGGCATAGAAAGCAGTAAGTATTGTAGGTATCAGTTATTAACTATCCATAGGTAATAGTATAATATGTAGTATAGAAACTGACCGAGTAACGAAGGGAGTCAGGGTTGGAGGCGAGTTGGCTGATGAGGCCAATGTTGGACGACAGACGGTTGATGTAGTTGGCGACGGCTATAGAAAGTGCTGAGTTGTCGCCGGTGCGGACCGAATTGGCGTATGCATCAATAACCTGTGCAAATAATCAAAATTTATATGTATTATATTAAACACTAAACAGAGACATACATAATGATTTAAGTAATTAAATTAAATTAATTTATTTGTATGGTAGTCGATGTTTACTTCAGTATTGTTTATGAATTAGATAATAAGATACTGCAAATATATGTGTAAATCTTATTTGGTAAAAAAGTAATATTATATTAAAATTATATTATTAAATTGATGAAAATAGATTATTGATAAAACTATTTAATTATGTAGTTCATTAATGAATAAATTAATACATTAAATAATTTGTGTACTTATTTAATTATGGATATAAGCAAGAGATTTAATCAAGTAACTAAAAATGAATTGAAATGCAACGCAAAATAATTTAAGTACATATTTAAAAGCTTTAATAATAAAATAATTTAATTAATTATTTTGTTCATGAATTATGTAATTAATAAATGGATTTTTATATTTATAAGATTACGTAACATATGTTGTACAAAAATTTATATCAGTATTTATATCGGCGAGATAAGATTGAGACATATTCTGTTAGTAAAAAATATTTAATAACATTGATCTAGAAATTAGGTTACTACCATACCAAATTAATCAAAATTTGTCTAGTGTTGATATGTGTTCAGAGATTGTTCAGCAATAAGACTGCCTCTTGTACTATTTTATATAATTCATGTAACTTTGGTTGGCAATGAAGAGTAATAATTTTTTTGCTAATAGGATACATAAGACTTTCTATATACAAACATACATATTCATGAATACAATGTTTGCATTGGATTATAACGGAAAAAAATTAATAGACAAAACTTACGGCGGCGGCTTCACAGGAGTTTCCTGGGACGCCGGTTGCGAGCTCACCGAGAGCTGCGACGGCTTGGGTTACAGCCAGGCTCTGGCTGAGGCCGTCTGGTTGGTCAGCGAGGTCGTTCAAGATTTGTTGAATGGTCAAAATGTAGATGTTTGTGTCACCGCCGTCAACAATTTCGAAGGCACGGTCGATTAAAGCGCTGTATTATAAATTTTAATAAATTAATTAATTAACAAATTAGTTTAATTAAATAATTAATTCATATATTACAATTAAATTTACTTAATAACCTGTTTAATGTAATAATATCATTAAGTAATTGAAATTAAAACACAGTAATTTCGCAAAAAAAATTTATATGTATTCTGTTTGTTTAGTATGAAATTGCTGTCATTAGCGATAATTAAATTAGTACAAAATTATAATATGTAATATAAGATGCCTGTTATTGCTAGTGTCCTTTTAGCACACTGGTCCTGTGACCTTTACACTTATTTAATGGGCTAAGACATATTACTACTATTTTAATGTGCCTTTAATGTCTTGACCTCTTGATTGCGACATTACTGTAGTTGAGCGACTATAGCATTGTAAAAAATGTATTTTATGTTTCAATTTGGTAGTGCATAAATGTTATAAATTACACATTGAAAATAAAATTAATTTTACTAATTTTAATGGAAAATTTATTATTTAACAGAATTTAATAATAATTCAATATGTGAAAGTTTGTAAGGTTGGATAGATGGATACATATACTACTGAACAGATTTGAATGAAATTTGATACATGGATAATTTATATCCTAACTTAGTACATAGAATACATAAAGTACTCTGTTATGTCCATGGTACTGCTCATGTCTATAGGCGACGGTTACTACTTTCCATCAGGTAAGCCGTCAGCTTGTTTGTCATTCTAAGTTGTATAAAACTAAAACTAAGTAGGCGAAGCCACAGGATACAGTTCGTATTAAATACATGTAGAAGAGGAAGGAGGCAACAATCGATAATCATTTCGCATTGCGTGTTTATAATTGTATAATCTTCATCATCTCACTGTATTTTAAGAAATATCAAATGGTGGTCTTACACGATCAAGTTTATCGCCAAGTTGGGCGTCCAGTAAACTTGTCGGTGTGTAACTATCAGTGTGCATGTTAATTCTACTTGAGTGCGCACTGCAATCTGGACGCTGCTCCCAACTACAAACTTAATAGTAAACTTGATCGTGTATGACCGCCATATTAAGTACTTAGGTCATGGTAAATATACCTAGAGATGGGGCGTCCATTGCCAACAGCTGGCGCGATGTTGTTGATGTTGTCTTGACTGATAACAACGGAGGGGGCGGCTAATGCGCTCTGAAAACGTAAAATTAAATTATTGTTAATGAACATCACAATATATGGGTTACACAGCGACATCTAGTTTTAAATTAGGTAGAGTACTGTGGGTGACAAATACATACTCTACATATAAAGAAGATTCTTAGAATAGTATGTAGGTACACAGGTATTGTTATGAATACTATATGTGTGTATTGCGCGAAGATTAAACGCTATCAAAATATTCAGATATTATACCATATTTTTGTTATTTAGATAAAGTTCATAAAAGAAAACTGATATTTTAATTTTGCAGATATCGTAGGAAGCAGATACCTAATTATAGTGTTGTATTTTAGGAAAAAAAATTTTTGGAAATAAAATAAAGTGAATACGGTTTACTTGATCGTTTGTTGATCAAGCTCTCGATAAAATAATAAAAATCAATAAAATCGACCACGTGACTATAGATTGCATGGAATAGCCATAAATATTGTGGAATTTTTAATTCGAGGTAATTTATAATAAAGATTCCAGTTTTGAAAATTGATATGTTATCAGTTACAATTAAACGCATTTCGAAACAAATCGTTATTTCTGTATTGTGTGAAATCGTGAAGAATGTCATGGTCTTTGTATTATATTTATAAATAACTACCATGCGAACGAAGTCGAGTGTTATTTACAGCACATGTTAATAACGAGAAAATTCACGCGGGATTTCCGTTGACAAATTTCAAACATAATGCAAATCACAACTACCTGTCGCGAGGTGCTACAAAATGTCGAACATCACAAATTTCCCGCTGTCGGAAGTATGACAAATCCACATTTTGAGTTATGAAAATAGTTCTCCAGTTGACACAGAGCAATCTCATGTCATCCTGACGCTAAAGAATTATTGAATGTCTATCACTTCATGCTTTCATACAAATATTATTATTTATTTATTATTATTTTAAGATTTTAATAATATTTTTTATTATATGGTATTATGTATTCATATCCTGTAATTATGGTTTATAACAGACGGGAAGTAACGCGATCGTTTAAGTAAAATGCTAATTTACCTGAACATGCAACACGAAAGTGTAAAAGTTAATTTATATCCTGTAATTTTCTTAATAATGTACAACATGTTTTTGAATATTATATTATTAAGGAGCAACGGATTAAAGGCTTGTGTTTGATGAGTCAAAGCTTTCGCCATTTTGTTCCATGTATGTTTGTATCAAACATTTGCTTTTTAATGCAGTCCTACTTAATCATTTTATGTGTCTTATTTATTCATCTCTTAGATTATATACCAGAAGATGGATATAGAGTATTAAATCAAAGAGATCTGTTTTTGACAGTGTTTGTTAGGAGACCCCATATATACGTTTATAGTCGCCTTTCCTTAGGTCTTTCGAGATTTTTTTTATTAAGTGAATTCTTTCAAACAATACGTTATCTATTTTATAGCAGCTTTTTCTTAAAAACAGTAATCACAATAATCTTAATAATAAACACTAGATACAAATACAAATTTTCTGTTCCGAAGTATCATTTAGAGAAAGGTAATTAGTCTTTTATGGAAATGCGCATTAAAAGTTATAATAAAAACCGAAGGATATTTTGAATCCACCTTTTATTAAATTTCAAAATGTTATTAAGAGATATTTAATGAACAAACCTGATTACTAGAATGACATACTTGCGAGTTATTGAATTATGTACGGGCTTTTTAATGATAATATAATTTTTAACATAGTATATTTAAATACACATAAAGTTAACAGAAATTTAAAACAGTAACTGTTCAATGTCTTGCGGGACCTTCTCAGCAGATAACAACATTTCGAATTTGGCAGAAGATTCATAAAAAATGAAGAAAAGTGCTTACGAATTGAATTGAAGTTTGAATTTGAATTTGGGCTACGATTTTTCTGTATAACTTATGATGAATAAAGAATTCTATGATGATATTTTAATCCATATCGCCCGTCTATGTATGAAATTTTATTTTCAGTGGAATTGATATCAGGTGCCCTTTTATCAAGAGTTTCCAGGCGGCTTTCGTAGTGAATAAATATGTTGTGCAAAAAACGAAGCAAGTACTATTACTACCCATGCGAGAGTATCATCTTTTGATAGTAAAGTCCTTTTTAAATCAGAAAAAACTAAAGGGAAAAGTGATAAACAACGAAATAGAGTTTATTTCCATCTTAGTTAAAATAACATACTGATTTTGGAGCGATTGATGTCAGTTTTTGTGTGGTATAAAATCTTTAATTCACTGAAGACATTGTCCCTTAAAATATAAAAATAATTACAAAACAACATGCAATAATGTTGTCTCATCTTATAGACAACATAATTTTAATATCATAAACGTGTGAGAATAAACATGGATTCGGAGCTTCCATTCAGATTCGGATATTCAAATATCTCGTTTGATTGCAATAGTGCTGTCATGAACAGAATACCATTCCAATATTCCTCCCTCGTCCCGCTAGCTCTCTACCTACCTACCTCATTAAATTTAGCCTCGAATGGAGTTGACATCCTCAAACCTACAATTTACATGTAAAGGTATCAAACAGGTAAAGTGTACCATCGTTCTGTCTGGTGTGCCATATTATAGTTGGAATTGGAATGTTTATTTAATACGGCATGATTTAATCAAAATATTTTTATCTGTGCAATATTGTTTTTTTTTTAAAAAAGGAATAGTTTTTAATTTAAATGATTATGTCTGAAGTCTATTAGATACTATTAAGGTTTTTATCGAATTCGACTAGTAAATCGTAGATTAGTGGTTTACAGACTTATTTGGCGACAGATCCTTTTTACAAAAATAGATACTATAAATAATTGAATAGATTAAAAATATTTCTGGGATTTGATTTAATTTTAATGTATTTTTTTTTATTATATAATAGAAAAAATATGTTACTTTTAGATTATTCTGTATGTTACTTCCTTCTCTTTTTAAAAATTATTACGGCCATTAGAAGCTTTCCACGGTATTAAGCAATTCAAGTATGACTGGCGTAGTCTATGTTGTACTTTTTAAACGATAATCTTTAGTATAATATTAATCAATTTTATATCTTTAATATAAAAGTGAGATTGTTATATCTTGGTTTAACTAATCAGCACAAAATTTAGCATACCTAGTCTATTTGGAATGGAGAAGGACATAATTTGCTTTTTGTCCTGATTAATCGATCGAATATATCAGTTACACGAAGTCGTGAGTAAATTTGATCTCAATAATTAGCGATAATGTAATAAACTATGAACACAATGTATAGAGGAGAAAGGGATTGTTAGTAATGGGGTCTAATTGCCCCATTACTAGCAATATATCTTATCAAGTCAACCTTCAATCAGTTACCCTTGGAAACCAGCGTGGTTAATTATTTTCAAATTTTTCACGATGTGCCAACTGACCTGCTTTCATCTTTACCTATAATCACATACTGGTGCTTCGCCAGCATATACGCCATTAAAAAAAAAACACGATTGTTCACAATTATTGTTTATCTACAGTAAGTTCTTAAAGGCGACTAAGAAAATATAACACTATACGTAATAATGCAGTGCAGGAGATGAAAAATCCCAACTAAAATTCTATTCCAAGGCTGACTAGACGTCAGAGAGATCCTTTGGGAATGTAGTATTTCAGCCAAGCGACAATAAAGTAAAATAGTTTACGAGATCACAATGTTTTAAAGTTAAAAGTTATTCATAGTAAAATTAAACTTTAAACCTGAATGCTCATCATAATGTGTATGAATAATAAACAAATTTTTCTTCGAACAATAAAACAATATTGTATTGTTGTTTAGAGAAATTTAAAAAATAATCTTTTGACAATTAATTACTGTTAAATAAAATAATTAATAACAAACATTATATACTATTACTTCTATTTTCTCTCTCTACATATACGTTTATTTTACATGCATGTTTTACAAAAGCAACTTAAAAGCCTGTCTGCTTTGAATATTTTTCAATTATGCAATCATGACTGTAATAAAACTTTATTAGATTGATAATAATTAAGAAGCTAAAAGAATCAGAAGAAAGTATGTTAAATTTAGAAAAAAAAATCCCTAATTGAAAAGTGAAAGGAATGCATTTATATAATGTATATTTGGGTACACGTATGTAATATTATTATGCCACGTTTTATTAAAAATCATCATCATATTATATCAGCCGTTAATTTTCTATTATTGAACAAAAGCCTCACCCATAAGGGGGGGGGGGGGTGGTTGTCAGCAATTGTTACGCTTGGCTGGCAAATTGACAACCGCAGTTAAGCTTTTAGTGATGTTTTAAGAGGGACGCTATTTCCCATCATTCGATCATTAAATCCCCTTAGTCGCCTCTTATGACATTCACGGAAAAGAAGGGGCGATACATTCTATGCCAGGACTACACGGAATATATTATTAATAATGTTGACTAAAAATAAAAAAGTTAAATAACTAATTAACGAAAACAATCAGAGGTTGCATAGTGAAATAAAAAAATTACAAAGAAAATATAAACTCACCGTCGCGACGAGTAATACCAAAACGAAGGGCAGCATTGTGCTGGTCTTTTTCGACCAATACGGTATATACTATACACGAGACCATCTGATTTTCTCCTCTATATATACACATGTAACAATTAACATAAATATATAACAACTGTTCAAACAACACTTTATAAACAACATAAATTACAAAGTAAAAATTATAATAAACGAATACCATCGACTTTCTGATATATACTTTAAAGTTCAATTTTAAATGAAATATATTTTTTTAATAGAAAAATATTCTTGTAATATTTGAGATTTTGAACAAAGGGTTTGATTAAATCGCTTGTTTAAATGTTTATTGTAGCGTGAGCATTAACGCAAATTGTCTTTCAGTCGCACAATGTGAAATTAAGTTGTATTCCATTTTCAGTTTGGACGTCATTAACTATGTAAAGCATATTATGAAGGTGAATAGTAAAGGCATTCGCACACTGAGCGATAAACTTATGTTAGAAAATTGTAAATATGTAATTGTTTCATTATTTTTGCATTTATTTCTTTCGACTAACTATTCAGATTTGTTTTTAGAACTACACGACGAATAAACGAAAAAAAAAATTGCTATCTTCAATATTTGATGTAAATTTCTACTATATCTAGCTTATTTCAGCCTATATAATATATATCTATTACTTGCCTATATTATTAAATTGTATCAATTCACTTATTTCCTTTTTCTCTCGGGATATCTAATTAATGGTACTTATTAATGCTTTTTTCATATGTATTTCTTAAATATTCATACATATGCTTGGCATTACGTTCTCTTTATAACCATTTAAAATGTCAATGCACATCTATATATTTATCGATGACAATTTTGATAAATTTACACAATTTTTTATCTTTTATAAGAGATTTTTCTTATTATAAATGATTATTTTCCAATTTTATATTAACATTTTATAGGAATATAATTAGACCAATATTATTAGTATTATCACTATCTAAATGTAATACCATCTACGCTTTAACTACTACGCTTTAACGTGAAATAATAGCGCTTATATTAATAAAGGATATCTGGAAAGTTATCTGATAAGTTTCTCGGTAGAGAATGCCTATAGCGATTAAGTCCTCCTTTATACCACATTTTATTGGTCAATAAAGTTTAAATAATTAAATTTCTTAGAATAAAAATAATTGTCGCTGATTGTGCAAGTAACTTATACTTTCTGCTTTGGCAAACATTTAAAAAACACTTAAATTAGTAAATAAAATGTATTTTCAATAAAGTTTAATATATATTAAATTTCTTATATAATAAAAATAATTGTCGCTGATTGTGAAGCAGTAGTCCATCGTGACGAATTCATAAGAATTGTTCACGATGGTTCTGCTTTTGGCAAACAAACCAACCTGTAACAACCAGTTTGTACATTTTTTTATGATAAAAAACAAGCTACACTTAAATTGTCGCCCATAAACAAGAACAGCATCATCGACATTATAGAATTAATTATAATATCCATATTACTCTTCATTCGTTGCCATTCCTGAGGACTACAGTGTTATAGTTCCGTAATTTCACTGCTACTATAGCATGTTAAAAATCTCAATAGATACGAGTCATAATTTGCTTTGTAAAACCCGCTGATGTAAATATGCTTGTTAGTTAATGCTACACCCTCAGGCAACATGCCAATTTAATTTGGTCTCACCTATTATGATATATAAGAGGATAAAAAAGTTTGGTGATATATAGTATTCTCATTTTCTCAATACATGAAGATATATTTGTCATGGTTTGTATATTAACTTATATAATAAATGCTTAGGTATTATAGGTAATTTTGTTCGCAATTTGCACGCTAAACGGCTCCGAGCAACGCTCTATTGTCTGAAGATGCCTCGTTTAGAGATGAAACACGTGTTGCAAAACGTATGTGGATGGAATGACGGTCGAAGATTGTTGGCTAATATGGAATGTTGCAGAATTGCCGTTAACTGTCCACTGTTTTTTTTTTAATGGATGATAGGAATGGTAGGATGATAATGAAAAGACAGGTCAGTTAGTCCATCGTGACGAATTCAATAAGAATTGTTCACGATGGTTTCCATTACTAATAATCCCTTTCTCCTCTACTGTCTACTGTTGAATATAGGTCTCTCCATATGGGAGGCTTTGCCAATAATTGCTATGCTTAGCAGCTCCGTCGCCTCTTACGAAATCCCCAGGAAAGGAAGGGGTCGCCTATTCTATGCCAGGACACACACGGAGACTCTAATAATAATAATAGTAGTCTTTGAGTGTTGGCAGTCACACGCATTTTAATAGTAGAGGAATTAAACAGAATAATTCAAATTGACCAGTTATATGCAGTAGAAACACAATAATTTTCTGCCTAAAATAGATAGATAGATACTCTTTATTGTTTCCTTCAAAAGATTACAATAGTAAACTTATTATAAATATAAATAATTACAAGAAATAATCACAATGAGAAAACAATGGGCGACCTTATCGCTAAGAGCGATCTCTTCCAGGCAACCTTTGGATGGAGAGGAGTAATTATAAACGATTTGGCACGATGAAAAATTTTGTTCAGATGTAATACATATAATAATATAAAAATTATCCCTACTCATTATTATATATATATATTTACTGTAAGCCACTTACATTATAACTATATTTTATATCGTCTTAAAATGATAATATAACGTTGAATTTGATAATACTGGTTGGAATTTCAATTTATTTAGTAGTTTTATTTCTAAAGCTTTTTTATATGATTGCAACAAAGAAAGTTTTGTATTATTTCTATTGGAAAATGCTTTCTGTTTTATGTTTGAATTGGAAGTGGATACGCCATATAGTTGGAAGATGTCTAGAATTAGGGTTGTCTCTACTTTTTAATTTAATATTATCAACTCATATATTAGTCGTATGGTCCCGACGTACAATAACCCCATTTCCTTTCTTGTGGGTGTTTTTTTTATTGGGTGATAATGGAATGGTAACCTCGCCTACGCTATCGGTATATACTGGTGATGCACCAGTGAGTGATGATAGGTGAGGATGAAGCAAGATATCCCATCGTGGCCCATCGTGCCGAATTCAACAAAAACTAATCACGATGGTTTCCAGGAGGAACGACGTGAAGGTCGACCTAATAGGGTATATTGCTAGCAATGGGGCTGTTAAATCCCATTGCTAACAATTCCTTTCTCCCCTCCTGTGGGTGTAGTAAGAGGCTACTAAGAGTAAGCAATGGTAGAGGGATAGGCAACAGCGTCCCTTTTAAACATCTCTAAAAGCTTAACTGGGGTTGCCAACCCACTTATCAAGCGTGGCAACTATTGGCAAATTTCCCTTTATGGGGAAGTCTTATGCTCAGCAGTGGACAGTTAAAAGCTGAAATGATATAATGCGTGAATATACTGGGTACGGAGGAATAACATCTGAGTCCTCAGGAATGGCAACGCATGGGTATATTGGCCGAAACAGTATACTCTGTTATGTCCATGGTACTGCTCATGTCTATAGGCGACGGTTACTACTTTCAGTCAGGTGGGCCGTCAGCTTGTTTGACATTCTAAGTTAAATAAAAAATAAAGTTTGATAGTAATTCCATTTCATTGGGATATAATATTTAAAGGGTTACACTACATTTTTGTTAGTAACACAATAGTTTTTGAGAAAAAAATCCTAACTGTGTATTCAAATAATCGCGACAACCCTGGCAGTAAAAGATGACACATTTCTTGTTTTCATCAAAAAAACATCTCAGACAAAACAAACCTCTTAAATCTGATGCATTTTCATTTTCTTTATAATTCTTAAAAAGACATACCAAAATGGAGGTTCCATTTTGGTATATCTTTTTGTCTTTCTGCCTGGATTTTAGATTGTGTCATAGACTTAGATTATATAGATAGCGTCGAGTTTCAAAAACGTGACAATATTTATTCAGCTAAATTGATACTGTATCAATTTGACACATATTTTTTTAATCGAAACAAAATGCGCCATTTATTCAGTATTGCAAGTAATTAGATTAATAATTTTCCAAATCAAGTCCTTTTTTTTTATTTGAACTGGAAATTATTTCTTCTAACATTATATAAATATGATATATATGTTCATATTGGTTACAAATTAACATACACGTATAAATTAAAATGATGGCCATTTTCAATCAAATTTTGTATCATTTTAATTTTTGTAATTTAATCTTACAATATTTTTCCCACATATTGAGTAGTAAATGTATATTATGGTAACCTGATTTAAGCATTCATGGATAAAAGTTAACCTGTTTTTAATGAAGCATGTGTGTAAGTAACTAAGTAATTTCAGTCGTTAATTGTCCACTAATGAACATAAGCCTTCCCCATACGTCGCATTAAAAAACAATACTATTTCCAAATAATCAAATATGTTTGACTAAGTTTTCATTTGGCAGTTAGATGTTTCGACATGTCTCAACAATGTAAGCAGACATGTATGAACTGAGTGCCCATAAAATTGTCATAACAGGAGACTATAAAGCGACTGAAGTCACGGGCCATCGTTACTGCAGTACGGTTTATATTTTTAGGAGATTAGTTCCGTGATAGACCAACCAAAGTTGCTGTCGTTTCCACAAAACGGGCAAATTGTGGTATGTTTATTATACCTACTAGCTTTATGCTTCGGCTCCGCTCGCATCGCTGTTAGGTTTTATCCTAACTAAATATATAGGATACTTTATATACTGTGTTATTTAAATTATATATTAAATTAGGATATAACCAAATTTTCCAACTATAATTAAATTCGTGTATAAAATTTAATTCAAATACATTTAGTAGTTATTGCGTGAAAGAGTAATAAACATCAGGGCAATGCCATAAACTGTCGCGTTTATAATAATGGTAGAATTTGTATCATCTCTTGTCATGGTGTTTGTTTACGCTAAGTCCTCGAAACCGTTGTACTAATTTTAATGTATTTGTTATTGTTGTATATGTAATTGTTGTATTTGTTACCTCATAACCCCGTCAGTTCTAAACCGATTTCCAAAATTCTTTTTTTATCTGAAGGAATATATTTACATATTGAATCCATGAAACAATTATCAAAATTGATTTAGTAGTTTAGTTTATAAATCAAAATA